GATGATGAATATGACTTTTTCTGTTGATTGATGGATAATTTTAGTTATGACATGACAATGAAACATGAAGAACACGGTTATTTTCTGATGACTAGGGAATAAGTGAAGTTATGAACAGTGTTGGAAAGATTCCTTTGACAATTTTTGGTTGATTGGATAATAAGTTTAGTTGAGAAATGAGGAAAGTGACTATGTTTTAGTTGATTGGCGAAAGATTTTTAGTTAAGAAGTTACAAGAAAGGTTTGTCTTTGTAAATTTGGAACTGGATAAAGTGTAGATTTGTTTAAGAACGGGGTTGGTGGAACTATTAAGTTGACTACGAGAATTACTTTGACATAGTTTTGCAAATAAAAACTGGGTGACTAAAATTGTTGAGGAAACTGTATTGCTGATGCTAATATTTGACAAAGAACTAGTTAGTGAATGGAAGAAACAAATTGGTTTAAAGAAACAAAGAACATAAAAAAATTGAGGTTATGTAGGGGAATGAACACAGTGAACATACGGTGAACACAGAAAACATGTAAGAAAAAGTTGATGAATAGAGTGAACATGCAGGGAATATGAACTTATTGAGAATATGAAGACATGATAAGGAACATAGGGAATACAAAGAATGAACACTGAATATGTGAAGAACAAGCTAAGAACATTGAGAACATGAATATTGAGTATAAAAGTTATACAGAGAACATATGATGTACATGAAAAACATGACAAAGAACATAGTGAATATACGGGGAAAACGGTTGAAAAAATTTGAACTGAGCATGCTGTGAACATTTGTAGAACATGGAATGAACACAGAAAACATGGAAAAAATGTGAAGAACACAGCTGAATATAGAGAAAATATGCAAATACAAGGGGACAAGAGCTGGAGCTCAGTAACTGACTTGATCTTATTTACTACGTCTGAAATATGACTGTTTAAAATTTCAGGGGGCTAGTAGCGAAAATGTGGTCTCTGTCAAATTTGGGTCTTTAATTGGACTCTGATTAATTTCGATCATGAACTGGACTCTGATGAAATTTGAGCTTAAAACTATCTCTGACTAATTTTGCTCTCAAAGTAGACTCTGACGAATTTTGCTAGAAAACTGGACTCTGATGAATTTCGATCAAGAACTGGACTCTGATGAATTTTCACAGATTACAGGACTCTGATGAAATTTGAGCTTAAAACTGCCTCTGACTAATTTTGCTCTCAAAGTAGACTCTGGCGAATTTCTGTTGATAATTGGACTCTGATGAAATATGAGCTTAAAACTGTCTCTGACTAATTTTGCTCTCAAAGTGGACTCTGAAGAAAATTGGGTATAAAATGGACTCTGTCAAATTTTCACAGATTACAGGACTCTGATGAAATTTGAGCTTAAAACTGTCTCTGACTAATTTTGCTCTCAAAGTAGACTCTGGCGAATTTCTGTTGATAATTGGACTCTGATGAAATATGAGCTTAAAACTGGGCTCTGTTCAATTTGGGTCTTTACAGGTGAAATAGCCGTAAATGGATATAAAACTAAATGTTATGGCTAAGTTGTCGGTTTTCCTTAACAAAACATCTAAGACAATATTCTCTGAAAATGGTCTTTTTACAAATTCGGTCATAAACATATAAATAAACTTCTATGATTATTTGAAACTCTGAAAATAGTTGTAAGGAAATAGGAGGAGAGAGAGAGAGAGAGAGAGAGGGACGGTCCAGATATTATGGAGAAGATAAGATAAGATAAGATAAGAGGTGACCTGAAGGCAGCATCTGGCTGACAGGCGTATTGAATTTCTCCCATAAGACCTTTAACAAACTTCTAAGTCTCGGAAATTATTTTTCTCATAAGAATTCCATACTTCTAAAATCTCGGAAATTACTCACTCATAAGAAATCCTTAATCCCAAATCTGTGACTGACAAAATTTACCTGAAAACCCTGGCTCACACGCGGGATATTGGAACCTCAAAACCCTGGCCCGCACAGGGGATATTGGACCTGAAAACCCTGGCCCGCACAGGGGATTTTCTAAATTCACCTGAAAACCCAGGCTCACACGCGGGATATTGGAACCTCAAAACCCTGGCCCGCACAGGGGATATTGGACCTGAAAACCCTGGCCCGCACAGGGGATTTTCTAAATTCACCTGAAAACCCTGGCTCACACGCGGGATATTGGAACCTCAAAACCCTGGCCCGCACAGGGGATTTTGGACCTGAAAACCCTGGCCCGCACAGGGGATATTGGACCTGAAAACCATGGCCCGCACAGGTGATTTTCTAAATTTACCTGAAAACCCTGCCTGCACAGGTGATTTTGGACCTGAAAACCCTGGCCCGCACAGGTGATTTTGGACCTGAAAACCATGGCTCCCACAGAGGATTTTGGACCTGAAAACCATGGCTCCCACAGAGGATTTTTTTCCCTTTGGACCTGAAAACCATGGCTCCCACATAGGATTTTTCCCCCCCCCCAAAAAAAATCCCCTGTGGACTGCCATCCCTACTACTCACCAAGACCTATCCCTGCCTTATACTACCTCACCAAGACCTATCCCTGCCTTATACTACCTCACCAAGACCTATCCCTGCCTTATACTACCTCACCAAGACCTATCCCTGCCTTATACTACCTCACCAAGACCTATCCCTGCCTTATACTACCTCACCAAGACCTATCCCTGCCTTAGACTACCTCACCAAGACCTATCCCTGCCTTATACTACCTCACCAAGACCTATCCCTGCCTTATACTACCTCACCAAGACCTATCCCTGCCTTATACTACCTCACCAAGACCAAACCCTGCCTTATACTACCTCACCAAGACATAACCATGCCTTATACTACCTCACCAAGACCTATCCCTGCCTTATACTACCTCACCAAGACCTATCCCTGCCTTATACTACCTCACCAAGACCTAACCCTGCCTTATACTACCTCACCAAGACCTATCCCTGCCTTATACTACCCCACAAAGACCTATCCCTGCCTTATACTACCTCACCAAGACCTATCCCTGCCTTATACTACCTCACCAAGACCTAACCCTGCCTTATACTACCTCACCAAGACCTAACCCTGCCTTATACTACCTCACCAAGACCTATCCCTGCCTTATACTACCTCACCAAGACCTAACCCTGCCTTATACTATCTCACCAAGACCTATCCCTGCCTTATACTACCTCACCAAGACCTATCCCTGCCTTATACTACCTCACCAAGACCTATCCCTGCCTTATACTACCTCACCAAGACCTATCCCTGCCTTATACTACCTCACCAAGACCTAACCCTGCCTTATACTATCTCACCAAGACCTAACCCTGCCTTATACTACCTCACCAAGACCTATACCTGCCTTATACTACCTCACAAAGACCTATCCCTGCCTTATACTACCTCACCAAGACCTATCCCTGGCCACGTCACTTCCTCGTTAAGAGGAATTTGATGAATTTGTGAACATCCACAGATAATAGTAAGGTCTGTATAGGAGTATAATATAAAGGAGACTCAGGAAGAGGACCTGTGAGCAGGACGCGACCTAGACAGTGGTAAAGGCACTGTCATCTTGGGGGTCAGTGGAGACCAGCTTGGAACACGCCACACGTGATAACGTGTATAGCAAGTCAATGGTCAAACACTTCAGTCTGGAAGATGATCAGTATGTTTGTGCACTTTTCTCAAGGACCCTTCAGTCAAGTATACCAACTGGCGAGCGTATACATGGTATGTATACTTGAGTCAATTATACCAACTGGCGAGCGTATACATGGCATGTATACTTGAGTCAAGTATACCAACTGGCGAGCGTACACTTTGCTTGTATACTTGAGTCAATTATACCAACTGGTGAGTGTATACTAGGTATGTATACTTGAGTCAAGTATACCAACTGGCGAGCGTACACTAGGTATGTATAATTGAGTCAAATATACCAACTGGCGAGTGTATACTAGGTATGTATACTTGAGTCAATTATACCAACTGGTGAGTGTATACTAGGTATGTATACTTGAGTCAAGTATACCAACTGGCGAGTGTATACTAGGTATGTATACTTGAGTCAAGTATACCAACTGGCGAGCGTACACTAGGTATGTATACTTGAGTCAAGTATACCAACTGGCGAGTGTATACTAGGTATGTATACTTGAGTCAAGTATACCAACTGGCAAGCGTACACTAGGTATGTATACTTGAGTCAAGTATACCAACTGGCGAGCGTACACTAGGTATGTATACTTGAGTCAAGTATACCAACTGATGAGTGTATACTAGGTATGTATACTTGAGTCAAGTATACCAACTGGCGAGCGTACACTAGGTATGTATACTTGAGTCAAGTATACCAACTGGCGAGCGTACACTAGGCTTGGGTCAAGTATAGGAGCCTAGCAAGCGCTATGCGGTGGCCAGAATCACCCAGTGCTCTAGGTCGCGGTAAAACCGTTCATATATTTTCAATATGAATAATTATTAGTGAGCGTTACAGCTCTCATACTGTTTCCATCTTTGGTGTGTACTGTCCTTCATCACTGCCGCTGGGGACGTCACTACTGACCAGCTGGCTCACAGCTGGTTACTAATAACTACCTCATTTGGCCTATGTGGAGTTATACTCCTCTAAATCTCCCTAATTACAAGCAGAAACAACAGGCTTTTTTATTTGATTTGAATTAAAAAATATATTACTCGGTACCGCACAGACTCTCGCTATGTGTATATTAATGTTTACAAACTCTGCACTCTGGTGATTCACGAGCCTCCCCGAGGGATCGTGGAGCCGCGAGGTCAGTAGGGGGTCCCACAAGAGCTGATGATAAAGTGACTAATTATAATCAGGTGGAAATGCATTTTTGTTTAACTGTTCTCATTTAAGAGTATCAAGAGCAAAGCCAGTAATGGTCTGCTTCAGTTGACAGTGAACTCTGTGAGCGTTTGTCTAGTGTACGACCCGGAGTCATGAGAGTGGTACAAGCAGGAAGATATACATTACCGACTGGGAAGTGATCAGGGTCAGCGGGGAAGACGGTGCCGGTGTCAGAGGAGACTTCCCAGGAGTAAGTGAGGGAGGAGGTGCAGTCCTGCTCACACTGGGCCATCAGCCCCACACGGCTCGAGGGGTTGATGTACACACCGTCAGGGTACGGGGTGCACAGCGACGCAGACGCGCACCTGATTAACAATAGTTTCCATCCATAATAAAGAGGAAGTGACAATGATAACACAAAGTAAGACATTTTTTGTTGCTGGGTAGTAAGTGGATAACTACATACAAAGATTAGTCAGGTGACCTTAGTGGGACAGGTATTTTGGAAGTGACGTCATCGTTGGCATCTTCGCGTTCCTTCACATGAAAGTCAAACACCCCGCCATAAGTACTCAAATAACAGAACTATTCACTCTACCCACCATGAGAGTGAGAGCAAGACCGGAACGCGAAGGTGCCAACCATGACGTCACTGGTCAAACGCCCTCTCTACTCTGGTCACATCACCTACTGTGATTAAAACTTACATCACCAGTTTTAATCACCTGACTAATCTTTGTCTTGTTTATTGACCCAGGCATCTTACCTTTACTCCTGACTTTCGCCTTTCTCCTCACCTAAATGTATGTACCCGACTTGCCAGCTGAGTAAATCCGATATGTTCCCTACTCTTTCCCTAACGGGCTATCCATGCCTGTGTCACCTCTTGGGTGGCTTAGTCTTTATCAATCAATCTGCTGTATCCTTCAATATAGAATAAGTGCATGTCGGATAATCTAGTCAAGATTCTAGAAAAAGTAGACTTGACATGGACCATTAGAAACAAAGAAGATAGCTTGTTACGGACCCGGATCCGACGTCCGAGCACGGAGCAGTGACAACCACGCCATCTGTGGGTCAGCTCCCGAAACCCCCTCCAAATGGACGACGACACCTGGCAAGGACGAGGTGTACCGGCCACAAGGGCCAGTTTCCAGTCCTTTTCAACTCACAACACCGCCGCTGCTGACCTCTGGTGAGGTGGTGCTCAGACGACAGCGCTATCTATGGAGTGGATATGTCGGGCGTTTGTGTCTGAGCCTGTAAGTGAGGTGCTTTAGTGTGTCCCTGTTATTGATGACGTGTCTGCTTACAGAGTCGACCTGGGACTGCTGTAAGGGAAGTTGAGTCAGTCTACCCAAGGCCGCCGTCCCCATACCAAGTGCTTTGCTGCAGCAGGTGTGAGTCGCCTCCTGGAGGAACACTGTGGTGTTGCCCTGCCAGTGAAGTGGCAGTTGAAGGATTGTCGTACCCGGGATCGACTGCTGGAGACGATTGACCACTGGGGTATTGTGGACAGGAGAGTGATCTGTGGTATCACACGAGGCTCCTGACTAGGGCGCTACTCAGCAGCGGCGGTGTTGTGAGTTGAACAGGACTGGAAACTGGCCCTTGTGGCCGGTACACCTCGTCCTTGCCAGGTGTCGTCGTCCATTTGGAGGGGGTTTCGGGAGCTGACCCACAGATGGCGTGGTTGTCACTGCTCTGTGCTCGGACGTCGGATCCGGGTCCGTAACAAGCTATCTTCTTTTTGGCCTGAACAGCGTTGCTGATCCGGAACCTGCCAGCAGTTTGCTGGACTTGTGGTTGACGGCCTCCACGGCGGTGCCCCCAGTGGAACTGTGTTTTGGCTGGCCTGTGTCCGGGGTAGACTCAGCTTGTCGAAGGATTCGTCGAGAGGCCACGAGAGCACCGAGAACTTGGCATCGAAAGGATCCAGAGTCTTCAGAAGAAGACGACAGTGTAAATAAGTGTTAATACCCCTCCCCCTGTGTAACCTTTTTATATATTATTTATTGGTGGCGGTCATTATATTATATTAAGTTTTTGCCTTTCTTTCCCTTCCCCTTATATTTTACTTGCGTCACGGATCTCATCCCTTGAAAGCCACTACTGGCTTGGGGCCGGATACCCTTCCTCTAACGACATCAGAGTACGAACCCAGTTGCGACCTGAGAGGGCCGTAACATAGCTCATATCAACACTTTTAGCAGCCGTCCCCATGGAAAGAATCGAGTCTAAAGATAATCATTGAAGGATTATCGGCTAGCTTGTGACTCGCAGAGGCTCAAAGCAGTCATAGAGCAAATGGGAACCATCTCAAGACCGTCAACCACTCACATCTTCGCAGATGGATCAGTTGATCAAGAAAGAGGTTCTGCTGGGGCAGCAGTTTACACTAACAACCATGAAGCTTACTGGAGCATGAATAGTGGGTGCTCAACATTTCAAACAGAATTTTATGTACCCAGAGGACAGCCATATTTTATGCAAGTGAGAATAATTTACATGATGTCATCATTCATACCGACTCTAAATCTTCACTCTAGGCATTGTTATCCAGCCAGCACAGAGATAACATACAACTCATCACAGAAATCCTACATATAAGAAAAGATGCACAGAGTTTAGGGCTGTCAATCACCGTAAATTGGATACCAATTGGCATTGGCATAGTTGAGAATGAAAAGGCAGATTACTCAAGGCCGTCTTAGCAGCATTAAGGGTCCCTGGGGCAAATCAGTGTGCTTGGGCTCTACGAAAACCACTCACAGGAATAAAAAGTATATGGTTGATAATATTAACCATTTACTTTATTGGCACTTCAACAAAACTGGAGTTAAAACATTAAAAACATGCCATAGAGCAGCAACCAATCAGCATGATAAACATTTGAATAATACACAAGGCTTGGAAAATACAATAATACTCAGTAAGCTACACAGATTAGATGGCACAGTATGAAATTACTACGAACTTCTTATTATAACAAGCAATTTTTTTCAGAGAATTGCTTTATAATTGGCTTGAAGTCAATGGTCATCAGGATGTCATTTTCCATGCATATGAGTGAAAGCCAGTTCAAACGATGCTGCCCCTTTGTGCTACGAAGCAGACTTTGTATGAGTTTCAGTCTTGAAAAAAAGAACGTTCTCCTGTATTTGGGTTCTACTCAATTTGCCTCTAGTTTCCTTGGTGTTCACATCCTATGACTGCAGGACCTTGTTTGTTTTGTTCATTCTTTCTAGCATATCATAAAAAAGAATTATGAGATATTGTTTCCAAGTTTTCCATATTTTTGCTCAATACTTCTGCCACTCGCCTTGTATTAATTTACTGTTCATTGTCAGCTGATAGAGAATCCAGTGCATGTTTTATTTTTTCGAAACTCCCCCATACAGATAATGAACATCAACATGTGCTGACCATCGTGTGTCAGCCAGACGCTTGACCCAAAAAACCTTTTCCTAAAGATGATGTCAATACATTCCAGCGATGAGTAGAACCAGCAAAAAATGAATACAGATGATGAACAAAGTCAAAGAATTTGACAGTCTAGACAAGACTCTGCTGCTTCTACTCCCACCAAGTTCAGGCTGTGTACAGCACAGGGGACATAGATGACAAACTCATTGAGTTGATGAATCCGTGCCCCAATCCAGTATATCGTCCAGATATATATGAGACATTATCCTATTACTGACCACGGTAGTTTGATTTGGAATTTTGTTCTCATTAAGAAAATCCACGACAGTGTCTGTTAGATCCATTGCTCCCCATAAAAGACGGGGATGAACATCAAGAAACGTTCACAGGCTCAAAGCCTTTAATGTATTGGACAGTAAATGTCAGTTGATCTGTGTGTTTGATGTCTAGAGTGAAATCTGCACTTATTGAATAATACTTTTACTCTTATACTTCGAGATTAGTACAAAGAACCTGTTGTCCCATTAATTCAATAAATTCTTCACAAATATTTGCAGATAAATATGACGGATTTCCTTTTCCTGGTTTTCCATACATTTTGATATGTTCTTCCAAGAAAGGGTCAAATTCACTCAGCAGCTTTAGAATACCTAAATAGTTGCCCTAAATAGTTTTGCTGGCCCAATAATCTAATTTTCACTATAGGTATAGAGGCAAGAAAGCGAATTATAGACACCACATGTGTCAACACCTTACGCCAATATTTTAGCTCTGAGCGATGTTGCTCAAGTAGTAAAGAATCTACAACGCCAGTTTCTTTATGCCTAATCAAATATACTGTCATGCACTTTCGATGTTCTTTTCCATTTCCATGCTCTACAATAAAATTGTTGTGCTTCCAGTCACTGAACCCCAATTTAGCAAAGGGAGACTCTTGGTCAATGTAGCAAAGGGAGTATTCTTGTACAATAGGCGACATACAAAGCAGTACAAACGACATTGGGATGAGAAATAGAGTAGCCATTCACGGTTTACATACTCGCACTTCCTCTGTTCACGTTTGAACACAATGTTTGATAAATACATTGCCTTCATATTCTATACTCAAGTTGCTTTATACACTCTGCGTGAGTTTGAAAGGTTGCTATCATGATTCTGACATGATGACGGCCCACTGCTATCCAGTAAAATGTTGTGTTAGTGTCATTAATGTTCCATAGTCCCGGATCTGTCTCTTGGATTGCAAACTCCTTTACTGTTACAGATTTGGGTATTTCCTCTTGTAAAATGTCACAAGCAGCAGCAACCGTCAATGATGGTATGTGTGATGAAACTTGATGATTAGTAGCAGGAGTGGAAGCTGATGTGGATGTTACCTCACAGTCATGAGAGTATAAGTGTGTTACCTCACAGTGATGAGAGTATAAGTGTGTTACCTCACAGTGATGAGAGTATAAGTGTGTTACCTCACAGTGATGAGAGTATGAATGTGTTACCTCACAGTGATGAGAGTATGAGTGTGTTACCTCACAGTGATGAGAGTATGAGTGTGTTACCTCACAGTGATGAGAGTATGAGTGTGTTACCTCACAGTGATGAGAGTATGAGTGAGTTACCTCACAGTGATGAGAGTATGAGTGTGTTACCTCACAGTGATGAGAGTATGAGTGAGTTACCTCACAGTGATGAGAGTATGAGTGTGTTACCTCACAGGGAGGAGAGTATGAGTGTGTTACCTCACAGTGATGAGAGTATGAGTGAGTTACCTCACAGTGATGAGAGTATGAGTGTGTTACCTCACAGTGATGAGAGTATGAGTGAGTTACCTCACAGTGATGAGAGTATGAGTGTGTTACCTCACAGGGAGGAGAGTATGAGTGTGTTACCTCACAGTGATGAGAGTATGAGTGAGTTACCTCACAGTGATGAGAGTATAAGTGTGTTACCTCACAGTGATGAGAGTATAAGTGTGTTACCTCACAGTGATGAGAGTATGAGTGAGTTACCTCACAGTGATGAGAGTATAAGTGTGTTACCTCACAGGGAGGAGAGTATGAGTGTGTTACCTCACAGTGATGAGAGTATGAGTGTGTTACCTCACAGGGAGGAGAGTATGAGTGTGTTACCTCACAGTGATGAGAGTATGAGTGTGTTACTTCACAGGGAGGAGAGTATGAGTGTGTTACCTCACAGTGATGAGAGTATGAGTGTGTTACCTCACAGGGAGGAGAGTATGAGTGTGTTACCTCACAGGGAGGAGAGTATGAGTGTGTTACCTCACAGGGAGGAGAGTATGAGTGTGTTACCTCACAGGGAGGAGAGTATGAGTGTGTTACCTCATAGAGATGACGGGCGGGATGTAACTGACGACCTGAACATAGCCGACCACCTTCGCCGTCCTGGTGTCCTTAGAGATGGTCGCCTCCATCTCGTAGGTCAGGTCCACGGCCACAAAGTCGCTGCCAAACAGCACTAACTCTCCGGCAGTGTAGTCCAGCAGTCCTGCCGACCCGGAGATATTAGTGACAGTCATTGGTAGCAGCAGGACAAGTTGTAAAACAGGGATATAAGCAGGACAACTTGCAACACAGGAATAGAAGCAAGACATCCTGCAACACATGAATAGAAGCAGGACAAACTGCAATACAGGGATAGAAGCAGGACAACTTGCAAAACAGGGTTAGAGGCAGAACAAGTTGCAACACAAGGATAGAGGCAGGACAAGATGCAACAAGAGGATAGAGTCAGGACAAGTAGCAACAGAAGTGTACTTCATCATCACTGGTTGTGTCCAGGCAGTGTACTCCATCACTGGTTGTGTCCAGGCAGTGTACTCCATCACTGGTTGTGTCCAGGCAGTGCACTCCATCACTGGTTGTGTCCAGGCAGTGTACTCCATCACTGGTTGTGTCCAGGCAGTGTACTCCATCACTGGTTGTGTCCAGGCAGTGTACTCCATCACTGGTTGTGTCTGAACAAATATCAGAGTATCTAGAGTATCACAACAGCCTCCTGGCTTGATCACTTACCCATACCATCAGCCAGACACAACAGCCCCCTGGCTTGGTCACTCACCTGGGCCATTACCGAAGCAGCCTCCCCCCGACCCCTTGACCGACACAGAGTGAGGGGTGGTGTCCGGGGCGGGCCAAGCCTCCCCCACCTGCCGACACCTGTACTCTACTGTGAAATTCTGCAAGCAAAATATAAATAAATGTTAATGAAGTTTTTATATGATTAAAGTAGGAGTTGTGACACGGAAACTCATTATATTATTTGTAAGTTAAATATGCCGTACCAAGAGGGGGTCACACGGGTACAGTTGGCCTATGTTAATAGTGGATATCTGAGGTGAGATAAGACAAGCCGCCTCGTGGCATGTTTTAACCTGCTTGAGGTCACTGTTAAGCTGCTTGAGGTCACTGTTAAGCTGCTTGTGGTCACTGTTAAGCTGCTTGTGGTCACTGTTAAGCTGCTTGAGGCCACTGTTAAGCTGCCTGTGGTCACTGTTAAGCTGCTTGTGGTCACTGTTAAGCTGCTTGAGGTCACTGTTAAGCTGCTTGAGGTCACTGTTAAGCTGCTTGAGGTCACTGTTAAGCTGCTTGAGGTCACTGTTAAGCTGCTTGAGGTCACTGTTAAGCTGCTTGTGGCCACTGTTAAGCTGCTTGAGGTCACTGTTAAGCTGCTTGAGGTCACTGTTAAGCTGCTTAAGGTCACTGTTAAGCTGCTTGTGGTCACTGTTAAGCTGCTTGAGGTCACTGTTAAGCTGCTTGAGGTCACTGTTAAGCTGCTTGAGGTCACTGTTAAGCTGCTTGAGGTCACTGTTAAGCTGTTTAAGGTCACTGTTAAGCTGCTTAAGGTCACTGTTAAGCTGTTTGAGGCTATTTGAGACCACTACGTCAGACCTCACAGTAGAGACCACTACATCAATCCTCACAGTAGAGACCACTGCCTCATTCCTCACAGTAAAGACTACTTCTCAGTCCTCACAGTAGAGACCACTACCTCAGTCCTCACAGTACAGACCACTACCTCAGTCCTCACAGTAGAGACCACTTCCTCTATCCTCACAGTAGAGACCACTGCCTCAGTCCTCACAGTAGAGACCACTACCTCAGTCCTCACAGTAGAGACCACTACCTCAGTCGTCACAGTAGAGACCACTACCTCAGTCGTCACAGTAGAGACCACTACCTCAGTCGTCACAGTAGAGACCACTGCCTCAGTCCTCACAGTAGAGACCACAACGTCAGTCCTCACAGTTGAGACCACTGCCTCTGTCCTCACAGTAGAGACCACTACGTCAGTCCTCATAGTAGAGACCACTACATCAATCCTCACAGTAGAGACCACTGGCTCATTCCTCACAGTAAAGACTACTTCCTCAGTCCTCACAGTAGAGACCACTACCTCAGTCCTCACAGTACAGACCACTACCTCAGTCCTCACAGTAGAGACCACTTCCTCTATCCTCACAGTAGAGACCACTGCCTCTGTCCTCACAGTAGAGACCACTACCTCAGTCCTCACAGTAGAGACCACTACCTCAGTCGTCACAGTAGAGACCACTACCTCAGTCCTCACAGTAGAGACCACTGCCTCAGTCCTCACAGTAGAGACCACTGCCTCAGTCCTCACAGTAGGACCACTACCTCAGTCCTCACAGTAGAGACCACTACCTCGGTCCTCACAGTTGAGACCACTACGTCAGTCCTCACAGTAGACACCACTACCTCAGTCCTCACAGTAGAGACCACTGCCTCAGTCCTCACAGTAGACACCACTACCTCAGTCCTCACAGTAGAGATCACTACCTCAGTCCTCACAGTAGAGACCACTACCTCAGTCCTCACAGTTGAGACCACTGCCTCAGTCCTCATAGTAGAGACCACTATGTCAGTCCTCACAGTTGAGACCACTACCTCAGTCCTCACAGTAGAGACCACTACCTCAGTCCTCACAGTTGAGACCACTGCCTCAGTCCTCATAGTAGAGACCACTATGTCAGTCCTCACAGTTGAGACCACTACCTCAGTCCTCATAGTAGAGACCACTACCTCAGTCCTCACAGTAGAGACCACTACCTCAGTCCTCACAGTAGAGACCACTACCTCAGTCCTCACAGTTGAGACCACTGCCTCAGTCCTCATAGTAGAGACCACTATGTCAGTCCTCACAGTTGAGACCACTACCTCAGTCCTCATAGTAGAGACCACTACCTCAGTCCTCACAGTAGAGACCACTACCTCAGTCCTCACAGTAGAGACCACTTCCTCAGTCCTCACAGTTGAGACCACTTCCTTTATCCTCATAGTAGAGACCACTTCCTCAGTCCTCACAGTTGAGACCACTTCCTTTATCCTCATAGTTGAGACCACTACGTCAGTCCTCACAGTAGACACCACTACCTCAGTCCTCACAGTAGAGACCACTGCCTCAGTCCTCACAGTAGAGACCACTACCTCAGTCCTCACAGTAGAGACCACTACCTCAGTCCTCTCAGTTGAGACCACTACCTCAGTCCTCACAGAAGACACCACTACCTCAGTCCTCACAGTAGAGACCACTGCCTCAGTCCTCACAGTAGAGACCACTACCTCAGTCCTCACAGTAGAGACCACTACCTCAGTCCTCACAGTTGAGACCACTACCTCAGTCCTCACAGTAGACACCACTACCTCAGTCCTCACAGTAGAGACCACTGCCTCAGTCCTCACAGTAGAGACCACTACCTCAGTTCTCACAGTAGAGACCACTACCTCAGTCCTCACAGTTGAGACCACTACCTCAGTCTTCACAGTAGACACCACTACCTCAGTCCTCACAGTAGAGACCACTGCCTCAGTCCTCACAGTAGAGACCACTGCCTCAGTCCTCACAGTAGAGACCACTGCCTCAGTCCTCACAGTAGCGACCACTGCCTCAGTCCTCACAGTAGGACCACTACCTCAGTCCTCACAGTAGAGACCACTGCCTCAGTCCTCACAGTAGAGACCACTGCCTCAGTCCTCACAGTAGAGACCACTGCCTCAGTCCTCACAGTAGCGACCACTGCCTCAGTCCTCACAGTAGAGACCACTACCTCAGTCATCGCAGTATAGACCACTACTTCAGTCCTCACAGTTGAGACCACTACCTCAGTCCTCACTGTAGACACCACTACCTCAGTCCTCACAGTAGAGACCACTACCTCAGTCCTCACTGTAGAGACCACTACCTCAGTCCTCACTGTAGAGACCACTACCTCAGTCCTCACAGTTGAGACCACTGCCTCAGTCCTCATAGTAGAGACCACTATGTCAGTCCTCACAGTTGAGACCACTACCTCAGTCCTCACAGTAGAGACCACTACCTCAGTCCTCACAGTTGAGACCACTGCCTCAGTCCTCATAGTAGAGACCACTATGTCAGTCCTCACAGTTGAGACCACTACCTCAGTCCTCATAGTAGAGACCACTACCTCAGTCCTCACAGTAGAGACCACTACCTCAGTCCTCAAAGTAGAGACCACTTCCTCAGTCCTCACAGTTGAGACCACTACCTCAGTCCTCACAGTAGAGACCACTACCTCAGTCCTCACAGTAGAGACCACTACCTCAGTCCTCACAGTAGAGACCACTACCTCAGTCCTCACAGTAGAGTCCACTACCTCAGTCCTCATAGTAGAGACCACTGCCTCAGTCCTCACTGTAGAGTCCACTACCTCAGTCCTCATAGTAGAGTCCACTACCTCAGTCCTCACAGTAGAGATCTCTGCCTCAGTCCTCACAGTAGAGTCCACTACCTCAGTCCTCACAGTAGAGATCTCTGCCTCAGTCCTCACAGTAGAGTCCACTACCTCAGTCCTCACAGTAGAGATCTCTGCCTCAGTCCTCACAGTAGAGTCCACTACCTCAGTCCTCACAGTAGAGATCTCTGCCTCAGTCCTCACAGTAGAGTCCACTACCTCAGTCCTCACAGTAGAGTCCACTACCTCAGTCCTCACAGTAGAATCCACTACCTCAGTCCTCATAGTAGAGTCCACTACCTCAGTCCTCACAGTAGAGATCTCTGCCTCAGTCCTCACAGTAGAGTCCACTACCTCAGTCCTCACAGTAGAGATCTCTGCCTCAGTCCTCACAGTAGAGTCCACTACCTCAGTCCTCACAGTTGAGTCCACTACCTCAGTCCTCACAGTAGAGTCCACTACCTCAGTCCTCACAGTAGAGATCACTGCCTCAGTCCTCACAGTAGAGTCCACTACCTCAGTCCTCACAGTAGAGACCACTACCTCAGTCCTCACAGTAGAGTCCACTACCTCAGTCCTCACAGTAGAGATCTCTGCCTCAGTCCTCACAGTAGAGACCACTACCTCAGTCCTCACAGTAGAGATCTCTGCCTCAGTCCTCACAGAAGAGTCCACTACCTCAGTCCTCACAGTAGAGATCTCTGCCTCAGTCCTCACAGTAGAGTCCACTACCTCAGTCCTCACAGTAGAGTCCACTACCTCAGTCCTCACAGTAGAGTCCACTACCTCAGTCCTCATAGTAGAGATCTCTGCCTCAGTCCTCACAGTAGAGTCCACTACCTCAGTCCTCACAGTAGAGATCTCTGCCTCAGTCCTCACAGTAGAGTCCACTACCTCAGTCCTCACAGTAGAGTCCACTACCTCAGTCCTCACAGTAGAGTCCACTACCTCAGTCCTCACAGTAGAGTCCACTACCTCAGTCCTCACAGTAGAGATCACTGCCTCAGTCCTCACAGTAGAGTCCACTACCTCAGTCCTCACAGTAGAGACCACTACCTCAGTCCTCACAGTAGAGTCCACTACCTCAGTCCTCACAGTAGAGATCTCTGCCTCAGTCCTCACAGTAGAGACCACTACCTCAGTCCTCACAGTAGAGATCTCTGCCTCAGTCCTCACAGAAGAGTCCACTACCTCAGTCCTCACAGTAGAGATCTCTGCCTCAGTCCTCACAGTAGAGTCCACTACCTCAGTCCTCACAGTAGAGTCCACTACCTCAGTCCTCACAGTAGAGTCCACTACCTCAGTCCTCATAGTAGAGTCCACTACCTCAGTCCTCACAGTAGAGTCCACTACCTCAGTCCTCACAGTAGAGTCCACTACCTCAGTCCTCACAGTAGAGATCACTGCCTCAGTCCTCACAGTAGAGATCACTGCCTCAGTCCTCACAGTAGAGTCCACTACCTCAGTCCTCACAGTAGAGTCCACTACCTCAGTCCTCACAGTAGAGTCCACTACCTCAGTCCTCACAGTAGAGATCTCTGCCTCAGTCCTCACAGTAGAGACCACTACCTCAGTCCTCACAGTAGAGATCTCTGCCTCAGTCCTCGGACTCATTAGTGAGCTGTTAGTACCTTATCCAAATGTGCAAATATTTTTTTATATATTATACACATTGCTTTTAATTGTAATAAGAATATTTCAACTAGGATGTACGTTAGTAATTAAATAAACTAATGTCCAATTAAAACCTTAAGTCTTTTGATAAACTTATCGCTCTCCACACCTAGAAGTGCTTTCAGGGTGGAGCTAGGCTCCTAGCCTTGCCTGATCCAATATATCCCGTCTGATATACTGAGTAAACTGATGTATGGCGGCCATCAGTGCCGAGTGATCCCTGGTGTATTTAATTACTAGATCTAATTCAAAATAAATCACCCACCACGAATATTAGAGTATTATTAGAACTCTCCAGAGTTTACCCCAGGGGGTGCTGGTGATATCTTTATCCCAGGAGGGCGGGTGGTATCTTTATCCGAGGAGGGCGGGTGGTATCTTTATCCCAGGAGGGCGGGTGGTATCTTTATCCGAGGAGGGCGGGTGGTATCTTTATCCCAGGAGGGCGGGTGGTATCTTTATCCCAGGAGGGCGGGTTGTATCTTTATCCCAGGAGGGCGGGTGGTATCTTTATCCCAGGAGGGCGGGTGGTATCTTTATCCCAGGAGGGCGGGTGGTATCTTTATCCCAGGAGGACGGGTGGTATCTTTATCCCAGGAGGGCGGGTGGTATCTTTATCCCAGGAGGGCGGGTGGTATCTTTATCCCAGGAGGGCGGGTGGTATCTTTATCCCAGGGGGATTGAACGTCATTGTGATAGCAGCACCATCACAATGACAGTGATGATAGCACCACCACGATGACAAAGTTGATAGCACCACCACAATGACTGGGATGATAGCACCACCACAATGACAGTGATGATAGCACCACCACAATGACAGTGATGATAGCACCACCACGATGACAGTGATGATAGCACCACCACAATGACAGTGATGATAGCACCACCAAAATGACAGTGATGATAGCACCACCACGATGACAGTGATGATAGCACCACCACAATGACAGTGATGATAGCACCATCACAATGACAATGATGATAGCACCACCACGATGACAAAGTTGATAGTACCACCACAATGACAGTGATGATAGCACCACCACGATGACAGTGATGATAGCACCACCACAATGACAGTGATGATAGCACCACCACGATGACAAAGTTGATAGCAAAACCACAATGACAGTGATGATAGCACCACCTATAATGGCAGTGATGATAGCACCACTTATAATGACAGTGATGATAGCACCACAACAATGGCAGTGATGATAGCACCACCACAATGACAGTGATGATAGCACCACCACAATGACTGTGATGATAGCACCACCACAATGACTGTGATGATAGCACCACCACAATGACAGTGATGATAGCACCACCACGATGACAAAGTTGATAGCAAAACCACAATGACAGTGATGATAGCACCACCTATAATGGCAGTGATGATAGCACCACTTATAATGACAGTGATGATAGCACCACCACAATGACAGTGATGATAGCGCCACCACAATGACAGTGATGATAGCACCACCACAATGGCAGTACCTTGTCGTCTGGGTAATCTGGGTCGGAGGAGAAGTTGGCTGGGTTGAAGAGTACTTGCTGCGGCAAGCCTCGGAGCACCAGTGACACAGCGTTCTCCATCAGCACAGGCACCAGCGGGGTCTTCGTAATTTCAAAGTAAGTCATACTTCGCTTTTGGAAAGGCCAGCTAGGATCCAGAACAGCAGGGTCTGAAATGTAATATAATTGGGATAAAATGCTAAAAATAATGGAGAGTGTGAGAGCTTATTTCAAAATGATTAAGTACTTGAATGATCAGTTTTATCTCTGTGATCTGGCAGTAAAGAGAGGTTGGGACAAATCTCCAGCCCCGAACCTACCTTTTCTGAAGTAATATGCTAAAGATATTTGGGTCATACTTTTTATTCCTGATCGGTCCTATTATTTTTAACCATCAAGCAAACATATTTACATAGTTCTGTATGTGCCATGGCTGGTCCTTCGTATATGCCTTGGACATTACTGATCCCAGCACTGAACACTTGAAGAAATCATTCATGTATATCCGATGTATTCAAATCCACTGTGACTGATGTGAATCAGTCACAGCGAAAAGATTAAGACTACTGTGTTTACGGAAATTAATACACGATTTACAATCGTTCATATATACATTTCTTCCTCAAGGTTCATTAACATGGAAAACATAAATGTCACATTCAAACTTCCCAAGAAATACTGCAATAATTATTCAATGTTACAGTTCTCTGAAACCTCACAGCATTTCCCTACCATTTTAAGTCGCCCATCACTGGTAACAATTGATACCAAAGATAATTGGATGATGAGAGACCTTCAAAGGCTTTTAAGATCATCAACCCCAGAATTATAGACCCTGGGCGAACCCATGAGAATAACGCGGGTCATCAATACTGCGAGGTTGTTCAAATGATAGAGATCATGTGTAGAGAGAAACTGTGCGTGTTGTGGTGATGAACAGTGAATGTAACCATGCGTGTTGGGGTGATGAACAGTGAATGTAACCATGCGTGTTGTGGTGATGAACAGTGAATGAAACCATGCGTGTTGGGGTGATGAACAGTGAATGTAACCATGCGTGTTGTGGTGATGAACAGTGAATGAAACCATGTGTGTTTTGGTGATGAACAGTGAAAGTAATCATGCGTGTCGTGGTGATGAACAGTTTTTTTTATTATTATTATTTTTCTACCACAGACGTGGTCACACATTTACAATGCTAACCAGCATATATACATTTTCTTCTGTCCTCCATGGACAAGGTTAGAGATGTGTTAAACATATAGTTCAGGGGGTTTATTCAACAATCAACCACAGAAGGTGATTCGGTGCTTTTAAAATGCTAAGCTAACCTACATACGTTTATACATAGATACACAGATTTACGTGTGCCCTACATAAAGTGTTCGATGTGTCTTTTACATAGTGTTATTAATGTGCATTTACAAATGTGAAATGTAATTCTGATCAGCTTCCATATATACTTTATACACATACATATACATACACACACACACACACACATATACGTACATATACATTTGTTTCTTTTACTCTGACAGGATGAGATAGCTGATAGAGAAACTAGTGTGCAATTAAGGACTTAATCACTGAAGGTGATTAAGGTGCTTTTACAAGCTCAGGTTATATAGTTACATCACATACATACATTGAATAATTGATACATTACATGGTTAATCTTGGGTACAAGTCCAATATATCATCAAGTGTTCCAGTACTCATATAGTAATTATAGAGTTCAGCATACCTTAGCCCAGGAGGGCGAAAGTCAGACAATATGGGACGTTCTACAATATAATGTTCAAGAGAGTGCATGTTTTCTCTTTCACAAAGTTGACACATTGTGTACTCGACATTTGGGTTTTGAGAAAGCTGCCAGATACATCTATATTCCAGGCGTATTCTGGCCACTATAACATCACATTGCTGGGTTCTTGTGTTATTAGTCCCATATGTGAATGTCTCCTCACGATATTAAACCCAACCACTTGGGCTGGACGGTAGAGCGACGGTCTCGCTTCATGCAGGTCGGCGTTCAATCCCCGATCGTCTACGTGGTTGGGAACCATTCCTTCCCTCCCCCCCGTCCCATCCCAAATCCTTATCCTGACCCCTTCCCAGTGTTATATAGTCGTAATGGCTTGGCGCTTTCTCCTGATAATACCCCATCCTCACGATATCTATCATAATATTTAATGCTACAACTTTCCGGTCTTTGTGTTAGGTCGGTGAGATCTTCATTAGATATTTGTTGAAGTATTCTCTTTGTCACTGCTAATGAAACACTCACATCAATTTCTACCACTGGTTTTCTACAGGCTGTCTTTACAAGCATATCAACAGTGTCATGCCTTGAGATGCCAACATGTGATAGTATCCATAGGAATTTAATTTCAAATCTGTTTTCTTTAGCAGCTAAAACATTCATTCGAATATCACTGACTATTTTCTGGGTGTCACTACTATGTGCGTTCAATGCCAGGAGTGCACTCTGCGAGTCACAGTATATAAGTCCACTGCCTTTGTCTTTTAAAAATTCAGTGGCAAGGTATATGCCTGCAAGTTCGGTTTGAGTTGTACTTGCCCAGTCATTGACGCGCTTCATTGCTGTATGTACGAGAGAAGATTGTTCAAATATATTGCATGCACATCCGGTACATCGTCCACCTTCTTTTACAGAGCCGTCGGTATAGCACTGATACACATCGTTACCCATACTCTGAGTACTTTCAGTGATGCTTTTCAGTGTTAACTGTTTAAATAATGTAGAGCGCACACTATCTTTCTTGGGCGCATTTACAAAATCAACTGATAGATCCCAGTTATCCCATGGAGTAATTGGTTGATTAATCATTAATTGAGTTGGGAACATATTTAATATTTTGATATTTAATATTTTTCTACCTTGTTGAACCAAAATACATAATCAGATTTCGTTTTTCTTCTATAGACCTCAGGTGAGTGCAGCATATTAGAAAGTTTAGCTTGAAACTTCATGTGTTGTCTAGAGCTACTCAATGCTTTCACGCCGAAAACTGTGCTAATAGACAAAATTCTCTCACTTATGGTAGGTAATTTTAACTCTGCTCTCATATTAACTATTCTCGTGGACTTTGGAGCCCCAAAGATGAGACGCATAGCTTCATTTTGCAAAGCTTCAAGAGATTTTAGCTCTTTGTCAGTATACAGTGTGAGATGTAGAGCAGTGTAGTCAATCACAGAGCGTATAAATGATACATAAAACATTCTAGCAAGTCTCACGTTAATTCCATGATTGTCACCAACAAGGACCCGCATGGGCTTCAATCTCTCCCACAGTCTCCTCTTGAGAGAAGAAAGGTACCCAGGGTCGTTAATGGGGACACCAAGGTATCTGTAAGACTCGCAGTTCTCAAGTGCTCGCCCATCTATATGATAATTGGGTGGTGGAATACCACATGAAATGAGGGCACGAGTTTTCTGTACAGAGATAAGGAGGCCACATTCCTCAGCTCTAGTAGCAAAAGCATCGAGCAGAACTTGCATTCTAGGCATGGAGGCAGCCTGTTAACATATATCATCAGCATAACAAATGACAGTGTCTTCATTATTAGTTGGAAGATCTTTAATAAGTTTATGCATCAGAACGATGAACAACAAGGGGCTGAGGATCCCTCCTTGTGGAGTTCCCAGTTCAAAGTGTTTGCTCTCTGTGCTTTTAACACCATTAAACAAAACATATGCTGTTTGATTAGGCAAAGAGCCCTTTATCCATTTCAGTAATTTTCCTTGTATTCCCAGCTCGGCAAGCTGTTCCAGTATGATTTTTCTGTTTGCTGTATCAAAAGCTGCTGCTAGGTCGATGAAGACTGTTTGAGGGGAAGCTTCAATATGTGCGAAGTACTCAGCAAAACAGTGTTGTGTACTGAGCCCAGGCATAAATCCAAACAGTTGGGGTGACAGGTGCCCCTGTATACGATACATGAGTCGGTTAAGAACAATGCGTTCAAGCACTTTACAAACATACGATGTTAGAGATATGGGTCTATAATTATCTGAGTGTGGTTTGGGGATGGGAATAATGACACTCTTTGTCCAAGCATCAGGTAATACTCCTTCACTTAACTCATTCTGTACAACACTAAAAGTGGATTACCTGGTACGTGTGAGAATAATCTCAGTAGACTGTAAGTAATACCGTCCTCTCCAGGAGCAGTTGATTTTCCCATCTTTAGTGCATGATTTAATTCCCATTCAGTTACATCATTAAGGTCCGACACGTCGATAGCTGTACAGGAAAGATTGATGGTTCGTTGTCTGTTGAGGCGTGTGTCATTAAGTTTGGGTTGTATGTAAATAGGGAGTGAGTCGTAGCTCGATGTTAGTGTCCATTGATCAAGGAGAATGGTAGCTTGTAGTGGGCTGTGGTGCAGTGGTTTGTTGGGCTGCTTCTAGAGATTTTTCGTATCTTTTCCCAAACTTCAACAAGTGTTGTTTGCTCATTTATACTCTGTAGGAACTCTTCCCAATGTTTATTACGTATAACGTTGCTCATGTCTCTCACCTCTCTGTTTGCAACTAGAAATGCATGCAAGTCACCTTGTGCTTTGTTTCGTTTGTACGTATCTCCAAGTTGCTTTACTCGTTCATGTTCTTAAACAAATACGGGGTCAAGGACCCACTTGGGTGGTGGTAGGTGTTGTCCACTTCTGCTAGGCTTACGACCTGTTCCCCAACACACCCATGTATCGTAGTAGGTAGTAATCGTATCAACGAGATCTCTGGAGAAGGCTTGTACATTCGTTATTGTGTAATCTTGATACCATTTTAATATACAATTAATAAAGTGGACATGCAAGCCATATGGAATAATCGTTTTTCCGTCTCTGATGTCTATTAGGAACATCATACTGTACCTCATAGGAAGCAGAAACTGCATAGTGATCACTAAGTGATTTACCAACGAACATTCCATCCTATCTTGCATAAGGTTTCTACCCATTACATAATCAAGTCTGCCTCCCAATAAATGAGTTTGGGTATCCTTAGTATACACGGTTAATATGTTGTCATAAACATATTTTATAAATTTGCATCCATTATCGTTGTTAGTAATGTCTCCCAGCGTAATATGTCTAGCATTAAAATCTCCCATGTTATTGTCCCATGATTGCCTAGATCTGGGAGCAATGTTACATTGAGTTTCTGGCTTCTGGTATATACGTTGAGGAATGAGAAGTGGCCTGCTGTAGTTTGTACATGAAAGTGATGGTACTGTGTGTGTACATTGTGTGACGTGCTCACAAGAATGTGCGGTAAATCACTTCTGATGTATGTTACTAGGCCTGTGGCGTTACTGTTATTATAGGATGCATACCCTCTGATCTTTGGTGGAGTTTTGTTTATCATGTTAGACGTGTAGGGCTCCTGTAAAGCAATTATATTTATGTTGTTACTGGTAACATGTGCAGTTAGGTCATTCAGTCTTTTGTTAATGCTACGAATGTTCCAACTGAGAAACCTAATGGTCCTTGTGTCAACAGCAGCCATCGTCTTGGTGTTGTTCCTCCCTGGGACTGGTGGTCCCATTGTTGTCCTCGTCCCACCTCCACAATGTGTCAATAAGTGACTGTACTACGTAAAGAGCCGCACCAACCTGGCGTTTGGTGTCGTCAGGAACATCTGGTGACATCATCAGTTTCTTGATCATTGAGCAACTCGGGATGATCCGCGAGTGAATGTTCACTGTAAGTTGCTTGGCATAATTACTCTCACTCAGAATAATATCATTTTTATTCTCGTGCTTGGCTTGAGCGCGTTCGTTAAGGTCAATAATCATTTTAAAATATGCTGCTGCAGATCGACTTCCTTTTCCAGTTAATGTTTCTGTGTCACTAACACTGCTGTCATCACTGAGTTGATTGACGACGTCGCTGCCACCGCCCCCGTTGTCGCTCTCATCTCTGCCGCCGCCGCCGTCACCACCGCAGGTACCTTTACCAGCGCGGGCCACGGCTGTGACACAGCAGTGTGGAGGCTGCTGTATCTCATGTGAAGGAGCCCGACGTAGCGTCTGTATAATTTCAGCTAGTCCTGCTACCTGTGCTTGCAAGGCTGCTAACTGTAACCATGCGTGTTGTGGTGATGGACAGTGAATGAAACCATGTGTGTTGTGGTGATGAACAGTGAATGAAAGCATGTGTGTTGTGGTGATGAATAGTGAATGAAACCATGTGTGTTGTGGTGATGAACAGTGAATGTAACCATGTGTGTTGTGGTGATGAACAGTGCATGAAACCATGCGTGTTGAGGTGATGAACAGTGAGTGTAACCATGTGTGTTGAGGTGATGAACAGTGAATGTAACCATGCGTGTTGTGGTGATGAACAGTGAATGTAACCGTGTGTTGCTGTGATGAAGAATAGTGAATGAAAGCATGTGTTGTGATGATGAATAGTGAATGAAACCATGGGTGTTGTGATGATGAATGGTGAATGAAACCATGTAAATAGGGAAAATGTTCTCCACATAGTTTAGAGTCTGCGGGAGCTTGCAGGTCCCAGAAGAGTTACGTATAGTGTGAACATGATACAGTGATGAAGAATGTGTATAGTGAAGATGTTACAGTGACGAAGATGCCACAGTGATGATGTTACAGTGATAAGGAATGTGTGTAGTTAAGGTCTTACAGAGATGAATAATGAGTGTAGTGAAGATGTGATTGTGATGAAGAATGTGTGTAGTGAAGATGTGACAGTGATGAAGATGGGCCAGTGATGAAGACGTGACAGTGATGAAGAATGTGTGTAGTGAAGATGTGACAGTGATGAAGACGTGACAGTGATGAAGAATGTGTGTAGTGAAGATGTGACAGTGATGAAGACGTGACAGTGATGAAGAATGTGTGTAGTGAAGATGTGACAGTGATGAAGAATGTGTGTAGTGAAGATGTGACAGTGCTGAAGAATGAGTGTAGTGAAGATGTGATAGTGATGAAGAATGTGTGTAGTGAAGATGTGATAGTGATGAAGAATGTGTGTAGTGAAGATGTAGCCTCATACCATAAACATAGTGGAATCTCGACATACTCACCCCACATGGTAAGAATATACCTCAACATTCCCCAAATAGTAATAGTATACCTCAACATACTCACCTCATACTAAGAGTATACCTCAACATACTCACCTCATAAGAGTATACCTCAACATACTCACCTCATAAGAGTATACCTCAACATACCACACATGGTAAGAGTATACCTAAACATAACCCACACGGTAAAATTATACCTAAACATAACCCACATGGTAAAATTATACCTCAACATACTCACCCCACATGGTACGAGTATACATCAACATACCCCACATGGTAAGAGTATACCTCAACATACTCACTCAACATGGTAAAATTATACCTCAACATACTCACCCCCCACATAGGAAGAGTATACATCAACATACTCACCCTACATGGTAAAAGTATACCTCAACATACTCATACCACATGGTTGAGAGTATACCTCAACATACTCACCCCACATGGTAAGAGTATACCTCAACATACTCACCCCTCATGGTAAGAGTATACCTCAACATACTCATGCCACATGGTTTAGAGTATACCTCAACATACTCACCCCTCATGGTAAGAGTACACCTCAACACACCCCACTTGGCAAGAGTATACCTCAACATATCCCATATGGTAAGCATATACCTCAATATACTCCACCTAGTAGAAGTATACCTCAATACACCCCACCTAGTAGAAGTATACCTCAACATACCCCACCTAGTAGAAATATACCTCAACATACCCCACTTGGTAAGAGTATATTTCAACGTACCCCACCTAGTAAGAGTATACCTCAACATACCCCACTTGGTAAGAGTATATTTCAACGTACCCCACCTAGTAAGAGTATACCTCAACTTTTTCACCCCACATGGTATACCTCAACATACTCACCCCACATGGTAAGAGTATACCAAGCAATGTACAAGTTATAGTCGAGGCGCCTGGCGGGGATGGAGAGCTGGGGCTTGTCCCACGAGGAGTACACGTACATGGTGGGGATGTACTCCAGCAGATCCCCAGTGGTCGCGTTAGTTAGGTACAGCTGCCAGCGTTTCCTGCAGATATATTCCCTTATCAGTGCAACTTGAAGTGTCAATTGATGAAGTGTAACTACTTGAAGTGTCATTACTTGGTGTCACTATTTGGATGTTAAAACATGTCACGTAACACATACGTAATGTGTTACATGACATATATCATAATGTCTCACGTAATTTGTGACGGAGTGCAGCCCTGTATTTCCCTATTCCCGCATTTAAGAGTCATAACTCTCTGTTTGTACATAACTAGAAGAAATTGTGAGTTGATTTTATACAATTAAGAGAAAGCATGATTTTGCATTTGGGAGAAACTGCGACTTTATTTATTTTAGATGAGGGTATCAAGCGTCTTCTCCATGTTAAGATGGCGGAGCGAGCCAATTAGTCCAGTGAGCAAGCGAGCAAGGATTCCCGCTCAGGGGCGCGGCTCCCGGTGCATTCTGGGAACGGCGACAGCCGTGGTGTGTTTTAGCGGCGGCGAGGGCTTGGACGATAGGACCAATGATGTCTCGTCCTGGGCGTGATGTAGGCATTGCGGCAGGCGCCCCTGCAGGAGGCGGGAGAGCTAAGATCACTAGCTACCAGGTAGTCGAGATGAGCGGACGTGTGCTTATTTGCTCACCTGTCTGGGAGACGTATAGGCCTTCAGAGGGAATAATTCGGACAGCTGACGTTACCAGCGAAGAGGAAGACCTGTATGTAGACTCCCGCGGTAGTATTTTGGGTAGAGCTTTGCTGGTGTGAGGACGACACCAAGGGCTCAGTGACGACAGTACCCTGAGTAACTTTGTGAAGCGACACTGGGAGGAGTGTTGGACATTCCTGCATGCTGAGAATCTGTGTGGAGCTTAATCGGCAGTAGTCCTGGTTGGCTGAAACTCAACAATCGTTTACCCATGCTATTAGGCAGCGTGGAGGCAGTGGACCAGAACGTTGAGTGTCTTAGTGTGGATGAGCAAGGCTACAGAAGTTTAAACCTGTCATCTGGGAAGGAATATCTGGTGTAGGAGCAGCCCCCGACGAGGACCGAGCAAGTAGACGAACCGATCGTGGATCTACGAGGAGCCTCTCATCACGACACTGAATCTACGACCTGTAGCATCGGTTGAAAGGTTGATAATTTTCCCTTCCCATTTTTCCTTTGTGTTAGGAAAGGATGTACATAAATAATGTGATAACCATGAATTACGTACGAGACCTGGCCAAGCGTTGCTGTGGCTCAGCCACGCATACTCGTTGATTGGTCCACAGCAACCCTGCTGTCCCCCTATCCTCCCTACCTTCCCCCGCCTCCCCCATCCCCTCGTCCTCCCAACCATTCCCCTACTCCCCTGTCCCCTCGTCCTACCCCACCATTCCCCCCTCCCCATCCTATCGTCCTCACCACCATCCCCCACTCCCATCCCATTGTCATCCCAACAATTACCCACTCCCTCATCCAATGTGTTCCCAAATGATCTAATGTTTCCATCAGAAAAATGGGAACATCAAATGATCTGATGTTCCCATCACTGAAAAAGAAGAACAGTAAAAAAAAAAACTATGACAAAATAAACATATAAACTATACTCAAGAAATGAACGGCATGGTAAACAACACAGCTCAATTCCAACGCAATGTCACAGAAACTAATAAAATGAAAATGAAAATAGATCGAAATCTATGAAAATTCAATTAATCAATGCAATCGGGAACTATGAAATTGAATCGTAACATATTTAGTAAAGCGTATGTTGATTTTACGTGCAACCGATGGTGCTGTTTTTCCAAAAAAGCGTGTTTTTACCTGTCACAGGTGTGGCATCTATAAAGTAGGTATACACAAAACATGCACGTATTCGAATGGAACATTGTGTCAGAATTTCAAAGCAATCTGTGAAGAATTTTCGGAGATTATAGTGTGTGTTGCTTCTACGTCCAACTGTTTTTAAAAAATGCATGTTTTTACCTGTCACAGGTGTGGTATATATATAGTTGGTATATAAAAACACGTGTGTATTTGAATGCAACGTTATGTCAAAATTTCAAAGGAATCGGTAAAAAGGTTTCGGTTTCATGAAAATTCACATGAAAAACACCGTTTTTCAAAATATGCATGTTTTTACCTGTCACAGACGTGACATCTCTATAGTATGTAGATAAAAACCTGCTCGAATGTGAATGGAACGTTGTGTCAAAATTGCAAAGCAATCGGTGAAGAACTTTTGAGATTCAAACGAACATTTACATTTTTATTTATATAGATAGAGTACCAGTGATTATATCTTGGAGTGGATTAGGCACAGGTTTAAAGACAACAAACTATTGAAGGTGCTTTATAATATGTATTTATGTTAAGTGATATCACTGTTTATGAGAGGAATATTGCCATTCATTGGATTGAGGGAGATTTTGCCTATTGCTTTGTGTTTACTTCCTCCCCTAGTTTGTGCACCACACAAACTAGGGAGTGGTTGAGTTACTTCACTCCCTGCAGGGTGCAAGGCCGGTTTCAGTGGTGGAACTCTGCCCCTTTGGAGAATGAGTGGCTCCTCTATGGTGAACAGTGGCATCCAAGGGGGAATCAAGGCCCCCATCAGCTCTGAGCGGATGGTGCCGAGTTACTCCAATGATTCCGCCGGGCTGGTTGATCGGGGGTCAACTCCCGCTACATATGTGACAGATGCATTATAATGTCTCATGTAATGTGTTACATGACATGTATTATAATATCTCACGTAATGTGTTATATGAAAGATAATAATGTCTCGAGTAATGTGTCATATGAAAGATAATAATGTTTCGAGTAATGTGTTACATAAATGATAAATTTTAATGTCTCATGTAACACATACTCACGTAAAGTGTTATGTGACAGAAACATATAATCATGTAACCATTGCTTTGATCAGCATGATCATTTTTGATCAACTGTAAAATACTAGTGATCAGGTGTGTACACTTTTGATCACTCATGAAGTTTTTTCTTGATAATCGTGATTTTTTTTATTTGTGAATATTTTTAATTAGTAATAAACACTTTATTTGTTTTGAACACTTTTAATAGATCCTGAACATTTTTCATTGGTAGTGAATAATTTTTATATATTCTTAACAGTTTTGATTAGTTGTGAACACATTTGACGGGTTGTGAACATTTTTATTGGTATAAACCTGATCAGTCGTGAACCTTTTGATCAGTTCAACGATTTTTGATCTGTTGACATTTCAATGTTGTGATCACTTTTGATTGGTAGTGAACCACTAGATCAATTGTTAATATTTTTGATAAGTAATGCACACTTAAGACCAAATATATATGTTCATTTGTGAACACATTTGATCAGTTGTGGGGATCATTGATTGACTTTAAACACTGTTGATTAGTAGCGAACACTTTTGATCGGAAGTAAACACTTTTTGATCGGAAGTAAACTCTTTTTGATCGGAAGTGAACACTTTAGATCGCAAGTGAACACTTTTCATAGCAAGTAATCACTTTTGATCAGTAGTGAACACTTTTGATCAGTAGTGAACACGTTTGAACAGTAGTGACCACTTTGGATCAGTAGTGAACACTTTTGATCAGTTGAAAACTGTTATGGTGTGTGACACAGACACTAATTAACTTAAAATATTTAATCACAGACCTCATATGTACGTCAATATATTACTCCACACGATCAATAATCATTATTTTCAATGCTCTTTGTCTCGCTAGCATTATTCTCAGTTCTTGTTGGAGAACAGTTGAACGTGAGTTGCACTGTTCTTCCACAAAAGTATTAACTCCAGTATTCTCTGTCGTATGTGGATCATGTCATTTTTGCAAAGTATTATTTTCAATAAAAAAATTACTCGTACTATCAGTTATATGAATGTTACAGAATTCCATTTTGTTTACTTATTTACTCAGAAAATTCTGTTGCCATAATGTTAATGCAAAATATTATTAAAACCTGTCAACTCAGAACTATCTCCACGAAAAAAGTTGCATCCTCAACGAGAATATTTCCTGATCAGCTTACATGTGTGTTTCCAATACTTTAGCTGCTCAATGAGAGACATGAGAGAATGGCGGGTTCTTAACTAGATTTGCTAGGCTATGGTTGCAATGATGTGCAGTGTTTGTTAAATTTTCCTTATCCCAGGTCACAGCACCACAGTGGGTATTCTTGAATCGGTAATGACATTTACAACTCTGAGTACGAGCAAAGAAATGCCACTTGTGGTTCATGCGTGCAGATGATGGAGTTACTATCTCCCGAGTGCAGTCATGGAAGCAGCACCTGCATATTTTGTGCTACAGGAGGAGGTTGGTACCAGCGAAAGTCAAGCTCTGCACCTAACTTCCCAAGCTGAGCTGACCTTTCCCTACCACTCCCAGTGATGTCAGAAGGACCCATAGTCCACCCAATCAGGTGCCGAGTTGTGGCACTGCAAACTGCACTGGAAACTGCATTCTGATTGGTGCTCTGTGTGAAGGTCCTTCCTTAACGAAATGTGAGACGTGAGCTCAGTTATCTCGTCCTAACTCTGACAAAGCATTCTCGTGGAAGGCTGTGTAATTAGCAAAGATGGGCTCCCTGAGTGCCAGAGTCACGTTCTCCTACCAGACAGGTTTACTAACTCCAGAAACTCCATTACTCGTTGTTGACTCCCGCGGTGGAAGAGAGGATTCTTCTAGAATTGGGCTCGCATTCGGCAAGACGGTGGACGTAAACATGTGTGAGTGAATGTCGTGTGAGTATGAACTTTGTCAAATTCTCTGTTTATTCTTATGTTCATTTAGATTATGCAGTTCAGTTTTGGTCGCCGTGCTGTAGAATTGTTATAAATTCACTAGAACGCATCCAGCGTAGGATGACAAAGTTAATCCCCCAAATTAGAAACCCGTCATATGAAGAAAGATTGACAGAGCAAAGCAAAGATTAGATTTAGATTTAGATTTTGGATAAATTTAGATTTAGGAAAGACTTGGGAAAATACTGGTTTAGTAACAGGGCTGTTGATTTCTGGAACCAATTACCGCGTAACATGATGGAGGTGGGGGTCCCTTGATTGTTTCAGACGTGAATTGGACATGTATATGAGTGGGATTTGGTGATTATAAATAAGAGCTGCCTCGTATGGGCCAATAGGCCTTCTGCAGGTATTATTATTCTTATGTTCTTAAATAATTAAATTGTTTTATTGTGTTCGCATTTGACTTACAACGTGGTGCTTAGTGCGACCCAGTGAACATGGTGTTACTCTCGCTTCAGTCTGGTGCAGCCGATCGATGCTGCAACAAGGCTCTTCACAAAATGCTGGTCCACGACCAAGTACATATTTGTGATTATTTTTCCAACATATGTTAGTTTTATGTGCATGCAATTTATTCCTGATAATTTGAGCTCCTGGATTGTCCTTTGAATACGATAGTGACGTTATGTAGCCGTTAGTAGTGCAACGTGCATGAAGTGTTAAGGGATGAATGCCTACGATAGGTTGTAGACGTCCTTACACGAGGCGTTCCTTAGAATAAAAACAATTAGTCCTCATCAATGTGTAAGTAATGCTGTGTTTTTATGTTCAATAAATTCGCATGTTAAGAGTTACATTTGGTGTATCAGTGAGTCTTCTCTCCCTCATATATATAAATCTGTCATCCCCATAAAAGGGATATGGGATATCCCCATATTAAACTAACCCCTCAAGACTACCCCTGAAGATTGATGAATTCTGATTCTCTGCTTCACTAGTTTGAGTCAGGCACAACATGTATCAGACATATTTTACTCTAAATTCTGCACTGTTGCCTAAGGCATTTCACCTTGTTCTCACCTAGGTGTGCTTGCGGGGGTTGAGCTTAGGCTCATTGGTCCCGCCTCTCAACCGTCAATCAACTGGTTGATGACCACTGTGGATGGTCAGTCCACCGGTTCAGGCACCGCTGCTCTCCGAGGCGCTCCAAGTAAAGAAATTTCGAACACGTGTGTTTCTTATCCTTTAGCTGCTCATCTTACACGTGTGTTTCTTATCCTTTAGCTGCTCATCTTACACGTGTGCTTCTGATCCTTTAGCTGCTCATCTTACACGTGTGTTTCTGATCCTTTAGCTGCTCATCTTACACGTGTGTTTCAGAAACTTTAACTGCTCAGCTAACACGTGTGTTTCAGATGCTTTAGCTGCTCAGTTTACACGTGTGTTTCAGATACTTTAGCTGCTCAGCTTACATGAGTGTATTTCAGATACTTTAGGGAATCTGAAAAATTGGGAATCGAACCAACGTTCTGGGTAATCCCAGACGCGCTTATTAAACTACCGATCAGGATTATATAACCTGGGCTGCGCTTGTTGAGGAGGAACCCAGACTGCAGACAAGGTCGTCCTCCTGGGATGAGTTGTTCATAGATACATGACATCTGTGACTTCTTTGTGTATTTGTGGCTCTGGGTAACAATAATATACAAGGCCAGATGACTTTGATATATTAAGATATATTAATCTAAAGATAAATAAAGTGTTTAGTAGTGACGAAGAGCTGAAAATTATCATAAAACTTGAGACAACACGACAAACGTCTCTCTTACCTAGTATTGGACGTGAGTTCACAGTTGAGGGAGGCGATGGTGTAGATGGTGTTGACCTTGCTCTTGTAGAACTGTATGGGCGCCTCGAAGCTGGCACTGCCGTCCTCTATAGCGAGGATGGGCGGCCGGCACTTAATGCTTGTGACCAAGGTCATCACTCTGCTCACACACGACCCCAGGTTGTTGAAGGCGTATATGGTCACGTTGAACACATCGTCCCACCTGGGGGTGTACGGCTACACTTGCTCACAGAATATGTCCAAGGCAGCAGTGGATATGTATTATATATCCCATAATAATGAACTGAGTTATACATTACATATCCCACAATGAACAGGGACATACAATATATATATCCCACAACCATTACCTCACAACATCATGCAGTTCACAACCATTACCTCACAACATCATGCAGTACACAACAGTTACCTAACACAGTACATGCAGTTCACAAGTAACTAGGAATATCATAAACTCCGACATCTCGGCCAGTTGTTAGAAAGAAAAGATAAGTTACCCATCAAGATATTGTCGACTAACTGAACTAAAGCAACCATTGGGGGTCTTCAGAGAACCTGGGACCCGAACACTGCTGCCCACAAGTGCCTGGGACCCGAACACTGCTGCCCACAAGTGCCTGGGACCCGAACACTGCTGCTCACAAGTGCCTGGGACCCGAACACTGCTGCCCACAAGTGCCTGGGACCCGAACACTGCTGCCCACAAGTGCCTGGGACCCGAACACTGCTGCCCACAAGTGCCTGGGACCCAAACACTGCTGCCCACAAGTGCCTGGGACCCGAACACTGCTGCCCACAAGTGCCTGGGACCCAAACACTGCTGCCCACAAGTGCCTGGGACCCGAACACTGCTGCCCACAAGTGCCTGGGACCCAAACACTGCTGGCCACAAGTGCATCAGATGTTGATGTTCTCTCTTACTAACATTCGGAGAGCTGACGTCATCAGCTCTAACGAGAATCCAACAAAACAAACGACTTTAAAGATTGATGACAGGAAGCACTTACGTGAATGTGTGCGTTGAGGTTGAAGCGCTTGCGTGTACGTGTGGGTTAGGTTGCAGCATTTGCGTGTACGTGTGAGTGAGGTTGAAGCACTTACGTGTATGTGTGGGTGAGGTTGAAGCACTTACGTGAATGTGTGAGTGAGGTTGAAGCACTTACGTGTATGTGTGGGTGAGGTTGAAGCACTTACGTGTATGTGTGGGTGAGGTTGAAGCACTTACGTGTAGGTGTGGGTGAGGTTGAAGCACTTACGTGTATGTGTGTGTGTGTGTGTGTGTGTGTGTGTGTGTCTGTGTGTGTGGGTTGAGGTTTAAGCACTTACGTGTATGTGTGTGTGAGTGAGGTTGAAGCAGTTACGTGTAAGTGTGGGTGAGGTTGAAGCACTTACATGTAGGTGTGTGTGAGTGAGGTTGAAGCACTTACATGTAGGTGTGGGTGAGGTTGAAGCACTTACGTGTAGGTGTGGGTGAAGTTGAAGCACTTACGTGTAGGTGTCTGTGAGGTTAGGTTGAAGCACTTACATGTAGGTGTGGGTGAGGTTGAAGCACTTACATGTAGGTGTGGGTGAGGTTGAAGCACTTACGTGTAGGTGTGGGTGAAGTTGAAGCACTTACGTGTAGGTGTGGGTGAGGTTAGGTTGAAGCACTTACATGTAGGTGTGGGTGAGGTTGAAGCACTTACGTGTAGGTGTGGGTGAAGTTGAAGCACTTACGTGTAGGTGTGGGTGAGGTTAGGTTGAAGCACTTACGTGTATGTGTGGGTGAGGTTGAAGCACTTACGTGTATGTGTGGGTGAGGTTGAAGGAGACGTCGAGGACGGGGGCGTCGTGGTAGACAGCGCTGCCGTAGCCCGTCTGACATGTGTAACTCTCCCCGTAGGAGTGGACCACCTTGAGGTCTGTGTCGCCCCAGTCCACCACCAGGCAGGTCCCGGCACCCACGCTCTCGAAGCTCACCTCAAACGTCTTCTCCTCGTTCTGCAACACGTCACATCTCGCTAAATTATTAACTCTTAAGTAATATAAACTCTCACAGTGTTTATCATAACTCTTTCATCCGTCACTAAGTTCACCATAATGATATGTCCGTCACAGTGTTCACCATAGTGATGTGTCCGTCACAGTGTTCACCATAATGATATGTCCGTCACAGTGTTTACTATAGTGATGTGTCCGTCACAGTGTTCACCATAGTGATGTGTTCGTCACAGTGTTCACCATAGTGATGTGTCCGTCACAGTGTTCACCATAATTCTTCACTACACTGTCTGTAGTGTAGAGCTCTCTATACCCAGCATCAGGAGAGAGGGTGTTGGGGAGACACTAGAGGCAGTGCAGAGCGCTCAACACCCAAGGGTCTGTCGATTACACAAAAACCTTTCATGCTTCTCAAACTATTCCTTTCATTTTATCTTTAAGTAAATTCTTATACAGATTGTATTTATTTTTGTGTTATTAATTGTCTGTAAGACGATTATGTTTTAAATTTAAAGAAATACAAGAAAATTTCTTTGAATTATCATCATTCTTATCTGCTAAGAATTATTATGATTTTACATTTTATCTACATTTTTTACAAGTTTATTAATGTTATGAAGTACACAATTTAGTTAAGAATTAATTCACACAAAAATATTGGAGTAAATATTACCTTTGGCTTAACATCAGAGTAGTCGTCAATGAGACATTGTCTTATGGTGCCGACGATCTCCACATACAGAAGGTACGGCACTGACTGGAACTTGTTGACGGCGTGTACAGTCATATTCACCACAGTCTCCTGTGTACAAATACTCGCCATTACCCAGTTGATAATGCACTATACACACATGGTAAATATGTCAGAATACTCAAATCCTCTCAAGAGAGGATATACACTTTGTAGAGGGATCTTCACTATATCCTGAATGTTAGCAGAAGAGATCTTATACAAAAAGGTCAACCTGGTGAACTGTTGTATTCCTGTGGTACTGTAGCAGTCATCATGTGTTACTGTAGCAGTCATCATGAGGTACTGTAGCAGTCATCATGTGGTACTGTAGCAGTCATCATGTGTTATTGTAGCAGTCATCATGAGGTACTGTAGCAGTCATCATGTGGTACTGTAGCAGTCATCATGTGTTATTGCAGCAGTCATCATGTGGTACTGTAGCAGTCATCATGTGTTACTGTAGCAGTCATCATGTGGTACTGTAGCAGTCATCATGTGTTATTGCAGCAGTCATCATGTGGTACTGTAGCAGTCATCATGTGGTACTGTAGCAGTCATCAATGTGGTACTGTAGCAGTCATCATGTGTTACTGTAGCAGTCATCATGTGGTACTGTAGCAGTCATCAATGTGGTACTGTAGCAGTCATCATGTGTTACTGTAGCAGTCATCAATGTGGTACTGTAGCAGTCACCATGAGGTAACGCAGCAGTCATCATGTGTTACTGTAGCAGTCATCAATGTGGTACTCTAGCAGTCATCATGTGGTAACGCAGCAGTCATCATGTGTTACTGTAGCAGTCATCAAGTGGTAACGCAGCAGTCATCATGTGTTACTGTAGCAGTCATCAATGTGTACTGTAGCAGTCATCAATGTGGTACTGTAGCAGTCATCGTGTGGTAACGCAGCAGTCATCATGTGGTAACGCAGCAGCCATCATGTGTTACTGTAGCAGTCATCAAGTGGTAACGCAGCAGTCATCATGTGTTACTGTAGCAGTCATCAATGTGGTAACGCAGCAGTCATCATGTGTTACTGTAGCAGTCATCAATGTGTACTGTAGCAGTCATCAATGTGGTACTGTAGCAGTCATCGTGTGGTAACGCAGCAGTAATCATGTGTTACTGTAGCAGTTATCATGTGTTACTGTAGCAGTCATCATGTGTTACTGTAGCAGTCATCAAGTGGTAACGCAGCAGTCATCATGTGGTACTGTAGCAGTCATCATGTGGTACTGTAGCAGTCATCATGTGTTACTGTAGCAGTCATCATGTGGTACTGCAGCAGTCATCATGTGGTAACGCAGCAGTCATCATGTGGTACTGCAGCAGTCATCATGTGGTAACGCAGCAGTCATCATGTGTTACTGTAGCAGTCATCATGTGGTAACACAGCAGTCATCATGTGGTAACACAGCAGTCATCATGTGGTAACACAGCAGTCATCATGTGGTAACGCGGCAGTCATCATGTGGTAACACAGCAGTCATCATGTGGTAACACAGCAGTCATCATGTGGTAACACAGCAGTCATCATGTGGTAACACAGCAGTCATCATGTGGTAACGCGGCAGTCATCATGTGGTAACACAGCAGTCATCATGTGGTAACACAGCAGTCATCATGTGGTAACACAGCAGTCATCATGTGGTAACACAGCAATCATCATGTGGTAACACAGCAGTCATCATGTGGTAACACAGCAGTCATCATGTGGTAACACAGCAGTCATCATGTGGTAACACAGCAGTCATCATGTGGTAACGCGGCAGTCATCATGTGGTAACACATCAGTCATCATGTGGTAACACAGCAGTCATCATGTGGTAACACAGCAGTCATCATGTGGTAACGCAGCAGTCATCATGTGGTAACGCAGCAGTCATCATGTGGTAACGCAGCAGTCTTCATGTGGTAACGCAGCAGTCTTCATGTGGTAACACAGCAGTCATCATGTGGTAACACAGCAGTCATCATGTGGTAACACAGCAGTCATCATGTGGTAATGCGGCAGTCATCATGTGGTAACACAGCAGTCATCATGTGGTAACACAGCAGTCATCATGTGGTAACACAGCAGTCATCATGTGGTAACACAGCAGTCATCATGTGGTAACACAGCAGTCATCATGTAGTAACACAGCAGTCATCATGTGGTAACACAGCAGTCATCTTGTGGTAACACAGCAGTCATCATGTGGTAACGCAGCAGTCATCATGTGGTAACGCAGCAGTCATCATGTGGTAACGCAGCAGTCTTCATGTGGTAACACAGCAGTCATCATGTGGTAACGCAGCAGTCTTCATGTGGTAACGCAGCAGTCTTCATGTGGTAACACAGCAGTCATCATGTGGTAACACAGCAGTCATCATGTGGTAACACAGTGTGCCTCTGATGTGTTATGATGTGTGCCTCTGGTGTTACTCAACTGATGTGTGGCTCTTGTGTTACTCAACTGATGTGTGCCTCTGGTGTTACTCAACTGATGTGTGCCTCTGGTGTTACTCTACTGATGTGTGCCTCTGGTGTTACTCAACTGATGTGTGCCTCTGGTGTTACTCTACTGATGTGTGCCTCTGGTGTTACTCTACTGATGTGTGCCTCTGGTGTTACTCTACTGATGTGTGCCTCTGGTGTTACTCAACTGATGTGTGCCTCTGGTGTTACTCTACTGATGTGTGCCTCTAGTGTTACTCAACTGATGTGTGCCTCTGGTGTTACTCTACTGATACGTGCCTCTGGTGTTACTATACTGATGTGTGCCTCTAGTGATACTCTAATGATGTGTGCCTCTGGTGTTACTCAACTGATGTGTGGCTCTGGTGTTACTCAACTGATGTGTGCCTCTGGTGTTACTCTACTGATGTGTGCCTCTGGTGTTACTCTACTGATGTGTGCCTCTGGTGTTACTCTACTGATGTGTGCCTCTAGTGTTACTCAACTGATGTGTGGCTCTTGTGTTACTCAACTGATGTGTGCCTCTGGTGTTACTCAACTGATGTGTGGCTCTTGTGTTACTCAACTGATGTGTGCCTCTGGTGTTACTCAACTGATGTGTGCCTCTAGTGTTACTCAACTGATGTGTGCCTCTAGTGTTACTCTAATGATGTGTGCCTCTAGTGTTACTCAACTGATGTGTGCCTCTAGTGTTACTCAACTGATGTGTGGCTCTTGTGTTACTCAACTGATGTGTGGCTCTTGTGTTACTCAACTGATGTGTGGCTCTTGTGTTACTCAACTGATGTGTGGCTCTTGTGTTACTCAACTGATGTGTGGCTCTTGTGTTACTCAACTGATGTGTGCCTCTGGTGTTACTCAACTGATGTGTGCCTCTAGTGTTACTCAACTGATGTGTGCCTCTGGTGTTACTCAACTGATGTGTGCCTCTGGTGTTACTCAACTGATGTGTGCCTCTGGTGTTACTCTACTGATGTGTGCCTCTGGTGTTACTCTACTGATGTGTGCCTCTGGTGTTACTCTACTGATGTGTGCCTCTGGTGTTACTCTACTGATGTGTGCCTCTGGTGTTACTCAACTGATGTGTGCCTCTGGTGTTACTCTACTGATGTGTGCCTCTGGTGTTACTCTACTGATGTGTGCCTCTGGTGTTACTCTACTGATGTGTGCCTCTGGTATTACTCTACTGATGTGTGCCTCTCGTGTTACATCTCGAGTTATGGCCACGCGTAAGTCTCTCTCTCATATGGATGTTGCCTACCCTTCATCCTACACTGTGTAATAAGTCTTCTTGCTCCAACTCCTATCCTCATCACCTTGCATTTGTCAGGGTTAAAGTCCAGTAGCAATTTCTCAGACCATCGCTGGAGATTGTTTTGGGCGATCCATGTTCCTGGCAACATGGATCACCCAAGAACATTGATGATATACCACCTCAATTTTACCCGAGCAATGTGGAGGTATACACACAGTAATGTGGAGGTATACACACAGTAATGTGGAGGTATACACACAGTAATGTGGAGGTATACACACAGTAATGTGGAGGTATACACACAACAATGTGGAGGTATACACACAACAATGTGGAGGTATACACACAGCAATGTGGAGGTATACACACAAGACGTATACACACAGCAATGTGGAGGTATACACACAAGACGTATATACACAACAATGTGGAGGTATACACACAACAATGTGGAGGTATACACACAGCAATGTGGAGGTACACACACAATACGTATACACACAGCAATGTGGAGGTATACACACAAGACGTGTACTCAGGCATCATGAAGTCAGAAAGCTAAGCAAGACATCTTAGAGAGGAATAGCCTGTGGTCTATTCCATCTATTGCGGTCAGCGGAACGTTCCTCATGTGGATAGATTACTACATAGTGCGAACAGCAGAGATATAGCATACAAGGTAGTGACAACAGCAGACATATAACATACAAGGTAGTGACAACAGCAGACCTATAGCATACAAGGTAGAGACAACAGCAGACATATAACATACAAGGTAGTGACAACAGCAGACATATAACATACAAGGTAGTGACAACAGCAGACATATAACATACAAGGTAGTGACAACAGCAGACATATAACATACAAGGTAGTGACAACAGCAGACATATAACATACAAGGTAGTGACAACAGCAGACATATAACATACAAGGTAGTGACAACAGCAGACATATAACATACAAGGTAGTGACAACAGCAGACATATAACATACAAGGTAGTGACAACAGCAGACCTATAGCATACAAGGTAGAGACAACAGCAGACATATAACATACAAGGTAGTGACAACAGCAGACATATAACATACAAGGTAGTGACAACAGCAGACATATAACATACAAGGTAGAGACAACAGCAGACATATAACATACAAGGTAGTGACAACAGCAGACATATAACATACAATGTAGTGACAACAGCAGACCTATAGCATACAAGGTAGAGACAACAGCAGACATATAACATACAAGGTAGTGACAACAGCAGACATATAACATACAAGGTAGTGACAACAGCAGACATATAACATACAAGGTAGTGACAACAGCAGTGATATAAAATACAAGGTAGTGACAACAGCAGTGATATAAAATACAAGGTAGTGACAACAGCAGACATATAACATACAAGGTAGAGACAACAGCAGACATATAACATACAAGGTAGAGACAACAGCAGACATATAACATACAAGGTAGTGACAACAGCAGTGATATAAAATACAAGGTAGTGACAACAGCAGACATATAACATACAAGGTAGTGACAACAGCAGACATATAACATACAAGGTAGTGACAACAGCAGACATATAACATACAAGGTAACGATAATTCAGCAAAACTCAATCTAAAATAATCCAGAATTATTATTTTTTTACCTGTAATGCTTATTACATCAACAGCCTGGTGTAACAGCACCATTACATCAACAGCCTGGTGTAACAGCACCATTACATCAACAGCCTGGTGTAACAGCACCATTACATCAACAGCCTGGTGTAACAGCACCATTACATCAACAGCCTGGTGTAACAGCACCATTACATCAACAGCCTGGTGTAACAGCACCATTACATCAACAGCCTGGTGTAACAGCACCATTACATCAACAGCCTGGTGTAACAGCACCATTACATCAACAGCCTGGTGTAACAGCACCATTACATCAACAGCCTGGTGTAACAGCCTCTTTACATCAACTTACATAATTGATAAAGTAGCTGTAGGGAAGCAGCGTGGGGTTGAAGGGGTCGAGGGTTTTGTACCTGAACATCTCGAGGCCGGAGGTGTCGTTGATCACTATGTACTCATCAACAGTTCCTGCAACATCGTCAACATCACTGTAATCTCTCACTCATCAACTTCATGCAGCAAATACTTATGAAAATTTAGCGACAATTTGTTAAATGTGTTTCAATACCAGCTTATATGAGAACACTGAGTGGACAACATCGCTGGCTCCTTCACTAACCATTCCAGAGTTTTTTATATACATTTTAGATGTTAATTTTGCAGTTTGGGAAGGGCACTAACCTTGCGTCATGAGGGAACATGTGAAGCAACAGGGAAGGGAACACACCTTGCGTCATGAGGGGAACATGTGAAGCAGCATTGAAGGGAACACACCTACTAACCTTGCGTCATGAGGGGAACATGTGAAGCAACAGGGAAGGGAAACACACCCTTGCGTCATGAGGGGAACATGTGAAGCAACAGGGAAGGGAACCAACCTTGCGTCATGAGGGGAACTTGAGAAGCAACAGGGAAGGGAACCAACCTTGCGTCATGAGGGGAACATGTGAAGCAGCTGGGAAGGGAACACACCTTGCGTCATGAGGGGAACAGTGTGAAGAGAACAGGGAAGGGAACCAACCTTGCGTCATGAGGGGAACTTGAGAAGCAACAGGGAAGGGAACCAACCTTGCGTCATGATGTGAAGCAGCTGGGGGGAACACATGCGTCATGAGGGGAACGCAGCAGGGAAGGGAACCAACCTTGCGTCATGAGGGGAACTTGTGAAGCACAGGGAGGGAACCACCTTGCGTCATGGGGGAACATGTGAAGCAGCTGGGAAGGGAACACCTTGCGTCATGAGGGAACATGTGCAGCATTGAAGGGAACACACCTTGCGTCATGAGGGGAACATGTGAAGCAGCTGGGAAGGGAACACACCTTGCGTCATGAGGGGAACATGTGAAGCAGCAGGGAAGGGAACACACCTTGCGTCATGAGGGGAACATGTGAAGCAGCTGGGAAGGGCACTAACCTTGCGTCATGAGGGGAACATGTGAAGCAACAGGGAAGGGAACACACCTTGCGTCATGAGGGGAACATGTGAAGCAGCAGGGAAGGGAACACACCTTGCGTCATGAGGGGAACATGTGAAGCAGCAGGGAAGGGAACACACCTTGCGTCATGAGGGGAACATGTGAAGCAGCTGGGAAGGGCACTAACCTTGCGTCATGAGGGGAACATGTGAAGCAACAGGGAAGGGAACACACCTTGCGTCATGAGGGGAACATGTGAAGCAACAGGGAAGGGAACCAACCTTGCGTCATGAGGGGAACTTGAGAAGCAACAGGGAAGGGAACCAACCTTGCGTCATGAGGGGAACATGTGAAGCAGCTGGGAAGGGAACACACCTTGCGTCATGAGGGGAACATGTGAAGCAACAGGGAAGGGAACCAACCTTGCGTCATGAGGGGAACTTGAGAAGCAACAGGGAAGGGAACCAACCTTGCGTCATGAGGGGAACATGTGAAGCAGCTGGGAAGGGAACACACCTTGCGTCATGAGGGGAACATGTGAAGCAACAGGGAAGGGAACTAACCTTGCGTCATGAGGGGAACATGAGAAACAGCAGGGAAGGGAACTAACTTTGCGTCATGAGGGGAACATGTGAAGCAGCTGGGAAGGGAACTAACCTTGCGTCATGAGGGGAACATGTGAAGCAGCAGGGAAGGGAACACACCTTGCGTCATGAGGGGAACATGTGAAGCAGCAGGGAAGGGAACACACCTTGCGTCATGAGGGGAACATGTGAAGCAGCTGGGAAGGGCACTAACCTTGCGTCATGAGGGGAACATGTGAAGCAACAGGGAAGGGAACACACCTTGCGTCATGAGGGGAACATGTGAAGCAACAGGGAAGGGAACCAACCTTGCGTCATGAGGGGAACTTGAGAAGCAACAGGGAAGGGAACCAACCTTGCGTCATGAGGGGAACATGTGAAGCAGCTGGGAAGGGAACACACCTTGCGTCATGAGGGGAACATGTGAAGCAACAGGGAAGGGAACCAACCTTGCGTCATGAGGGGAACTTGAGAAGCAACAGGGAAGGGAACCAACCTTGCGTCATGAGGGGAACATGTGAAGCAGCTGGGAAGGGAACACACCTTGCGTCATGAGGGGAACATGTGAAGCAACAGGGAAGGGAACTAACCTTGCGTCATGAGGGGAACATGTGAAGCAGCTGGGAAGGGAACACACCTTGCGTCATGAGGGGAACATGTGAAGCAGCAGGGAAGGGAACCAACCTTGCGTCATGAGGGGAACATGTGAAGCAGCTAGGAAGGGAACACACCTTGTGTCATGAGGGGAACATGTGAAGCAGCAGGGAAGGGAACACACCTTGCGTCATGAGGGGAACATGTGAAGCAGCAGGGAAGGGAACCAACCTTGCGTCATGAGGGGAACATGTGAAGCAGCTAGGAAGGGAACACACCTTGCGTCATGAGGGGAACATGTGAAGCAGCAGGGAAGGGAACACACCTTGCGTCATGAGGGGAACATGTGAAGCAGCAGGGAAGGGAACACACCTTGCGTCATGAGGGGAACATGTGAAGCAGCTGGGAAGGGAACACACCTTGCATCATGAGGGGAACATGTGAAGCAGCAGGGAAGGGAACCAACCTTGCGTCATGAGGGGAACATGAGAAGCAGCAGGGAAGGGAACCAACCTTGCGTCATGAGGGGAACATGAGAAGCAGCAGGGAAGGGAACACACCTTGCGTCATGAGGGGAACATGTGAAGCAGCAAGGAAGGGAACCAACCTTGCGTCATGAGGGGAACATGTGAAGCAGCTAGGAAGGGAACACACCTTGCGTCATGAGGGGAACATGTGAAGCAGCTGGGAAGGGAACTAACTTTGCGTCATGAGGGGAACATGTAAAGCAGCAGGGAAGGGAACACACCTTGCGTCATGAGGGGAACATGTGAAGCTGCAGGAAAGGGAACACACCTTGCGTCACGAGGGGAACATGTGAAGCAGCAGGGAAGGGAACACACCTTGCGTCATGAGGGGAACATGTGAAGCAGCTGGGAAGGGAACCAACCTTGCGTCATGAGGGGAACATGTGAAGCAGCTGGGAAGGGAACACACCTTGCGTCATGAGGGGAACATGTGAAGCAGCTGGGAAGGGAACACACCTTGCGTGATGAGGGGAACATGTGAAGCAGCTGGGAAGGGAACTAACTTTGCGTCATGAGGGGAACATGTGAAGCAGCTGGGAAGGGAACCAACCTTGCGTCATGAGGGGAACATGAGAAGCAGCTGGGAAGGGAACACACCTTGCGTCATGAGGGGAACATGTGAAGCAGCAGAGAAGGGAACACACCTTGCGTCATGAGGGGAACATGTGAAGCAGCTGGGAAGGGAACTAACTTTGCGTCATGAGGGGAACATGTGAAGCAGCAGAGAAGGGAACTAACCTTGCGTCATGAGGGGAACATGTGAAGCAGCAGGGAAGGGAACACACCTTGCGTCATGAGGGGAACATGTGAAGCAGCAGGGAAGGGAACACACCTTGCGTCATGAGGGGAACATGTGAAGCAGCTGGGAAGGGAACCAACCTTGCGTCATGAGGGGAACATGTGAAGCAGCTGGGAAGGGAACACACCTTGCGTCATGAGGGGAACATGTGAAGCAGCAGGGAAGGGAACACACCTTGCGTCATGAGGGGAACATGTGAAGCAGCTGGGAAGGGAACTAACTTTGCGTCATGAGGGGAACATGTGAAGCAGCAGGGAAGGGAACACACCTTGCGTCATGAGGGGAACATGTGAAGCAGCTGGGAAGGGAACTAACTTTGCGTCATGAGGGGAACATGTGAAGCAGCAGAGAAGGGAACTACCCTTGCGTCATGAGGGGAACATGTGAAGCAGCAGAGAAGGGCACTAACCTTGCGTCATGAGGGGAACATGTGAAGCAGCAGGGAAGGGAACTAACCTTGCGTCATGAGGGGAACATGTGAAGCAGCAGAGAAGGGAACTAACCTTGCGTCATGAGGGGAACATGTGAAGCAGCAGAGAAGGGAACTAACCTTGCGTCATGAGGGGAACATGTGAAGCAGCAGGGAAGGGAACTAACCTTGCGTCATGAGGGGAACATGTGAAGCAGCAGGGAAGGGAACTAACCTTGCGTCATGAGGGGAACATGTGAAGCAGCAGGGAAGGGAACTAACCTTGCGTCATGAGGGGAACATGTGAAGCAGCAGAGAAGGGAACTAACCTTGCGTCATGAGGGGAACATGTGAAGCAGCAGGGAAGGGAACTAACCTTGCGTCATGAGGGGAACATGTGAAGCAGCAGGGAAGGGAACTAACCTTGCGTCATGAGGGGAACATGTGAAGCAGCAGGGAAGGGAACTAACCTTGCGTCATGAGGGGAACATGTGAAGCAGCAGGGAAGGGAACTAACCTTGCGTCATGAGGGGAACAAATGTCAGGTTCTTATCCATGGGGTACTGGTTCTTCAGCTTGCCGAATCCGTCTCTGCCAACTGTTGCTGTCAGCGTTGGGTAGTATTTGTTCAACACCACAAAGTTAATTATTTCTTGCACAATGTAGATCTGTTGAAAATAGAGGTAATTAAATAACATATAATAGCCTGTGTTATATATTTAAAAATTTGTTTTAATCTGGAAGGTTAGTGATATGTTTACGTTTTCTGATACAATGTTTGTACAGTTTGGACTCTATATGCCGCATCGCTACACAACTAAATTCTATCACACTTCTGCCGTAATATTTTTTGCATTGTATTTAACATTCAGACACATTTTTTCATTTGACTGAGGAAGCATGTACTCTCCTCACTCTACTCTCCACACTCTACTCTTCACTCTCTACTGTCTACAATCTACTCTCCACACTCTACTCTCCACACTCTACTCTTCACTCTCTACTGTCTACTCTCCACACTCTACTCTCCACACTCTACTCTTCACTCTCTACTGTCTACAATCTACTCTCCACACTCTACTCTCCACACTCTACTCTTCACTCTCTACTGTCTACAATCTACTCTCCACACTCTACTCTCCACACTCTACTCTTCACTCTCTACTGTCTACTCTCCACACTCTACTCTCCACACTCTACTCTTCACTCTCTACTGTCTACAATCTACTCTCCAGTCTCTACTCTCCACACTCTACTCTCCACACTCTACTCTCCACACTCTTCTCTCCACTCTCTACTCTCCAGTCTCTACTCTCCACACTCTACTCTCCACACTCTACTCCCACTCTCTACTCTCCACTCTCTACTCTCTACAATCTACTCTCCACACTCTCTACTCTCCACACTCTACTCTCCACACTCTACTCTCTACACTCTACTCTCCACTCTCTACTCTCCACTCTCTACTCTCCACACTCTACTCTCTACACTCTACTCTCCACTCTCTACTCTCCACACTCTACTCTCCACACTCTACTCTCTACTCTCTACATTCTACTCTCCACACTCTACACTCCTCACTCTACACTCTACTCTCCACATTCTACTCTCCACACTCTACTCTCTACACTCTAGTCTCTACATTCCGCTACACTCTACTCTCTACATTCTACTCTCAACACTCTACACTCTACTCTCCACACTCTACACTCCACACTTAACACTCTATACTCTTATCTCCACACTCTACTCTTAACACTCTACTCTCTACACTCTACTATCCACACCCTACTCTCCACACTCTACTCCTAACACTCTACACTCTACACTCTACTATCCACACCCTACTCTCCACACTCTATTCGCTACACACTACTCTCTACACTCTACACTCTACTGTCGACACTCTACTCTCCACACTCTATTCGCTAAACACTACTCTCTACACTCTACACTCCATACTCTACTCTCCACACTCTACTCTCCACACTCTACTCTCCACACTCTACTCTGTACACTCTACTCTCTACACTCTACTCCCTACACTCTACACTCTACACTCTCCGTACTCTACTCTAAACACTCTACTCTCTACACTCTACTCTTAACACTCTTCTCTCTACACTTTACACTCGACTCTTAACACTCTACTCTCCATACTCTACTCTCTACACTCTACACTCTACACTCTACTCTCCACACAGTTCTCTCAACACTCTACTCCCCACACTCTACTCTCTACTCTCTGCACTCTTCTATCTACACTCTACACTCTATTCTTAACATTCTACTCTCTACTCTCCACACTCTTCTCTCCACACTCTACTCTCCACACTCTACTCTCTACTCTCTACTCTCAACACTCTACTCTCTGCACTCTACTCTCTATACTCTACACTCTACTCTCCACACTCTACCCTGTAGATTCTACGCTATTCTCCACACTCTGCTCTCTAAACTCTACTCTCTACTCTTAACACTCTACACTCTACTCTCCTCACATTACTCTCCACACTCTACCCTTAACACTCTACACACTGCACTCTACTCTCCACACTCTACTCTCTACACTCTGCTCTATGCTCTCCACACTCTACTCTCTACACTCTACTCTCTGACCTCTACACTCTACTCTCCACACTCTACTCTTCACTCTCTACTGTCTACTCTCCACACTCTACTCTCCACACTCTACTCTTCACTCTCTACTGTCTACTCTCCACACTCTACGCTCTACACTCTTCACTTTACTCTCCACACTCTACTCACCACACTTTACTCTTCACACTCTACTCTCCACACTCTACACTCTACTCTCAAGTTAGAGGACACTGAACAAGTTAGAGGACACTGAACAAGTTAGAGGACGGTGTACAAGTTAGAGGACGGTGTACAAGTTAGAGGACACTGAACAAGTTAGAGGACACTGCACAAGTTAGAAGACTCTGAACAAGTTAGAGGACACTGAACAAGTTAGAGGACGTGTAAAAATTAGAGAACACTGTACAAGTTAGAGGACGATGTCCAAGTTAGAGGACACTGAACAAGATAGAGGACACTGAACAAGTTAGAGGACGTTGTTCAAGTTAGAGGACACTGAACAAGCTAGAGGACGTGTAAAAATTAGAGAACACTGTACAAGTTAGAGGACGATGTCCAAGTTAGAGGACACTGAACAAGTTAGAGGACACTGAACAAGTTAGAGGACGGTGTACAAGTTAGAGGACGGTGTACAAGTTAGAGGACACTGAACAAGTTAGAGGACACTGTACAAGTTAGAAGACTCTGAACAAGTTAGAGGACACTGAACAAGTTAGAGGACGTGTAAAAATTAGAGAACACTGTACAAGTTAGAGGACGATGTCCAAGTTAGAGGACACTGAACAAGATAGAGGACACTGAACAAGTTAGAGGACGTTGTTCAAGTTAGAGGACACTGAACAAGCTAGAGGACGTGTAAAAATTAGAGAACACTGTACAAGTTAGAGGACGATGTCCAAGTTAGAGGAAACTGTACAAGTTAAAGGACGGTGTACAAGTTAGAGAACACTGTACAAGTTAGAGGACACTGTACAAGTTAGAGGACACTGTACAAGTTAAAGGACAGTGTAAAAGTTAGAGAACACTGAACAATTTAGAGGACGATACACAAATTAGAGGATGTTGTGGCCACAAGTGTTGCTGAGGGCAAGAATGATGAAGGTGTGGGACCAAAAGTGTTGCTGAGGGTACGAATAATGAAGGTGTGGGCCACAAGTGTTGTTGATGGCAAGAATGATGAAGGAGTTTGCCACAAGTGCTGCTGTGGGCAAGAATGATGAATGTGTGGGCCACAAGTGTTGCTGAGGGTACGAATGATGAAGCTGTGGGCCACAAGTGTTGCTGTGGGCAAGAATGATGAAGTTGTGGGCCATAAGTGTTGCTGAGGGTAAGAATGATGAAGGAGTGGGGACCACAAGTGTTGCCGGGGGCAAGAATGATGAAGGTGTTGGGCCACAAGTGTTGCTGAGAGCAAGAATGATGAAGGTGTGGAGCCGCATGTGTTGCCGGAAGCAAGAATGATGAAGATGTGGGGCCACAGGTGTTGCTAAGAGCAAGAATGACGAAGATGGGGGCCACAAGTGTTGCTGAGGGCAAGAATGATGAGGGTAAGGGACCACAAGTGTTGCTGAGGGCAAGAATGATGAGGGTATGGGACCACAAATGTTGCTGAGGGCAAGAATGATGAGGGTAAGGGACCACAAGTGTTGCTGAGGGCAAGAATGATGAGGGTAAGGGACCACAAGTGTTTCTGAGGGCAAGAATGATGAGGGTAAGGGACCACAAGTGTTGCTGAGGGCAAGAATGATGAGGGTAAGGGACCACAAGTGTTGCTGAGGGCAAGAATGATGAAGGTGTGGGACCACAAGTGTTGCCGGGAGAAAGAATGATGAATGTGTGTGGCTAAAAGTGTTGCCGGGGGCAAGAAAGAAGGTGTGGGGCAACAGTTGCCCAGGGTAAAAATGATGAATGTGTGAGCCACAAGTGTTGCTGAGGGTACGAATGATGAAGCTGTGGGCCACAAGTGTTGCTGTGGGCAAGAATGATGAAGGAGTGGGGACCACAAGTGTTGCCGGGGGGCAAGAATGATGAAGGTGTTGGGCCACAAGTGTTGCTGAGAGCAAGAATGATGAAGGTGTGGAGCCGCATGTGTTGCCGGAAGCAAGAATGATGAAGGTGTGGGGCCACAGGTGTTGCTAAGAGCAAGAATGATGAAGATGGGGGGCCACAAGTGTTGCTGAGGGCAAGAATGATGAAGATGGGGGGCCACAAGTGTTGCTGAGGGCAAGAATGATGAGGGTAAGGGACCACAAGTGTTGCTGAGGGCAAGAATGATGAGGGTATGGGACCACAAGTGTTGCTGAGGGCAAGAATGATGAGGGTAAGGGACCACAAGTGTTTCTGAGGGCAAGAATGATGAGGGTAAGGGACCACAAGTGTTGCTGAGGGCAAGAATGATGAGGGTAAGGGACCACAAGTGTTGCTGAGGGCAAGAATGATTAGGGTATGGGACCACAAGTGTTGCTGAGGGCAAGAATGATGAGGGGTATGAGACCACAAGTGTTTCCGGGCGCAAGAATGATGAAGGTATGGGACCACAAGTGGTACTAAGGGCAAAAATTATGATGGTGTAGGACCTCAAGTGTTGCCGGGAGCAAGAATGATGAAGGTGAGGGGCCACAAGTGTTGCTGACAGCAAGAATGATGAAGGTGTGGGACCACAAGTGTTGCCGGGAGCAAGAATGACCCACCTGGCAGGTCACTGTGTACCCGGAGACGATGTTGTGGATGTAGGCGGTGATGTTGAAGTAGCCGTCGTTGGCGTAGATGTGTGAGAATATGGGGACGTTGTTGCCAGGGTTGAGGAAGGGCAGGTCCTCCGTCAGGCCGTCTCCCCACGCCACGCTCACCGAGGCATTGGTGGGGAAAGGCGCTCCAGAAGTATCCGTAAACTGGATCTGGGGAGCTGTAACGAAAGTAAACTTGGTGTACTGCAGACGGAGGTCTACAGTACAAGGTCTCCAAGGTATTGGAGACCTTGTCATAATATTAATTTTAGGGATGGATGTAAACTATTGTAAAATGTTCGTATTAAATGTGTAACGTTAAATTAATTTTAAGGATTATATATTGTTTAACTAAATGTTATTTATTCCTGTTGCCAGTCGCTCTACCTGCTGAGTCACCAACGTCCGTTTAAACGGGTGGTTCACTAGGAAGAAGGGTAGTGCGACCGGCTACTGTCTATGTGGTCGGTGGATCGAGGCTACAAGTGTCTATATAAATAATGGAGAATGTCTGTCACTCTGTCCATCTGTCTGAAGTAGGAGGCAACACAATAGGAGTTAGTCTTACCCAGATTTACAGGGGAATGGTCTGGGGAATGGACAGACATACGCTAGTTGGGATATGCCTAAGATAATGGCTTAAGATATATTATTCATTATTCACACCTGCGCACCAATTTGCCCACCTGCCCACCAATTTGCCCACCTGCCCACCAATTTGCCCACCTGCCCACCAATTTGCCCACCTGCCCACCAATTTGCCCACCTCCCCACCAATTTGCACATCTGCCCACAAATTTGAGAGATTCCATCAGACGTCTGAAGATTTGTTTCGTTATAAAAAACTCCTTTATGTAAGCATACAAATTGGTTATATATTTCAATAATATAGCATTATATTTTATGAAATGGAAGAGTGACAAACCCGAAGGGGGAGGGGAAGAGATGGGAAGTGTGGAGAGGATGAGGGGAGGGGGCAGTGAGGGGAGGATGAGGGGAGGGGGGAAGTGTGGGGAGGATGAGGGGAGGGGGAAGTGTGGGGAGGATGAGGGGAGGGGGAAGTGTGGGGAGGATGAGGGGAGGGGGAAGTGTGGAGAGGATGAGGGGAGGGGGAAGTGTGGGGAGGATGAGGGGAGGGGGAAGTGTGGGGAGGATGAGGGAGGGGGAAGTGAGGGGAGGATGAGGGGAGGGGGAAGTGTGGGGAGGATGAGGGAGGGGGAAGTGAGGGGAGGATGAGGGGAGGGGGAAGTGTGGGGAGGATGAGGGGAGGGGGAAGTGTGGGGAGGATGAGGGGAGGGGGAAGTGTGGGGAGGATGAGGGGAGGGGGAAGTGTGGGGAGGATGAGGGGAGGGGGAAGTGAGGGGAGGATGAGGGGAGGGGGAAGTGTGGGGAGGATGAGGGGAGGGGGAAGTGTGGAGAGGATGAGGGGAAGGGGAAGTGTGGGGAGGATGAGGGAGGGGGAAGTGTGGGGAGGATGAGGGGAGGGGGAAGTGTGGGGAGGATGAGGGGAGGGGGAAGTGTGGGGAGGATGAGGGGAGGGGGAAGTGTGGGGAGGATGAGGGAGGGGGAAGTGAGGGGAGGATGAGGGGAGGGGGAAGTGTGGGGAGGATGAGGGAGGGGGAAGTGAGGGGAGGATGAGGGGAGGGGGAAGTGTGGGGAGGATGAGGGGAGGGGGAAGTGTGGGGAGGATGAGGGGAGGGGGAAGTGTGGGGAGGATGAGGAAAGGGGAAGTGTGGGGAGGATGAGGGGAGGGGGAAGTATGGGAAGGATGAGGGGAGGGGGAAGTGTGGGGAGGATGAGGAAAGGGGGAAGTGTGGGGAGGATGAGGGAGGGGGAAGTGAGGGGAGGATGAGGGGAGGGGGGAAGTGTGGGGAGGATGAGGGGAGGGGGAAGTGTGGGGAGGATGACGGGAGGGGGAAGTATGGGGAGGATGAGGGGAGGGGGAAGTGTGGGGAGGATGAGGGGAGGGGGAAGTGTGGGGAGGATGAGGAAAGGGGGAAGTGTGGGGAGGATGAGGGGAGGGGGAAGTGAGGGGAGGATGAGGGGAGGGGGAAGTGTGGGGAGGATGAGGGGAGGGGGAAGTGAGGGGAGGATGAGGGGAGGGGGAAGTATGGGGAGGATGAGGGGAGGGGGAAGTGAGGGGAGGATGAGGGGAGGGGGAAGTGAGGGGAGGATGAGGGGAGGGGGAAGTATGGGGAGGATGAGGGGAGGGGGAAGTGAGGGGAGGATGAGGGGAGGGGGAAGTGTGGGGAGGATGAGGGGAGAGGGAAGTGAGGGGAGGATGAGGGGAGGGGGAAGTGTGGGGAGGATGAGGGGACGGGGGGAAGTGTGGGGAGGATGAGGGGAGGGGGAAGTGAGGGGAGGATGAGGGGAGGGGGAAGTATGGGGAGGATGAGGGGAGGGGGAAGTGTGGGGAGGATGAGGGGAGGGGGAAGTGTGGGGAGGATGAGGGGAGGGGGAAGTATGGGGAGGATGAGGGGAGGGGGAAGTGAGGGGAGGATGAGGGGAGGGGGGAAGTGTGGGGAGGATGAGGGGAGGGGGAAGTGTGGGGAGGATGAGGGGAGGGGGAAGTGTGGGGAGGATGAGGGGAGGGAGAAGTGTGGGGAGGATGAGGGGAGGGGAAGTATGGGGAGGATGAGGGGAGGGGGAAGTGTGGGGAGGATGAGGGGAGGGGGAAGTGTGGGGAGGATGAGGGGAGGGGGAAGTGAGGGGAGGATGAGGGGAGGGGGAAGTGTGGGGAGGATGAGGGGAGGGGGAAGTGTGGGGAGGATGAGGGGAGGGGGAAGTGTGGGGAGGATGAGGGGAGGGGGAAGTGTGGGGAGGATGAGGGGAAGGGGAAGTGTGGGGAGGATGAGGGGAGGGGGAAGTATGGGGAGGATGAGGGGAGGGGGAAGTGAGGGGAGGATGAGGGGAGGGGGGAAGTGTGGGGAGGATGAGGGGAGGGGGAAGTGTGGGGAGGATGAGGGGAGGGGGAAGTGTGGGGAGGATGAGGGGAGGGAGAAGTGTGGGGAGGATGAGGGGAGGGGGAAGTGAGGGGAGGATGAGGGGAGGGGGAAGTGTGGGGAGGATGAGGGGAGGGGGAAGTGAGGGGAGGATGAGGGGAGGGGGAAGTGTGGGGAGGATGAGGGGAGGGGGAAGTGTGGGGAGGATGAGGGGAGGGGGAAGTGTGGGGAGGATGAGGGGAGGGGGAAGTGAGGGGAGGATGAGGGGAGGGGGAAGTGTGGGGAGGATGAGGGGAGGGGGAAGTGTGGGGAGGATGAAGGGAAGGGAACTGTGGGTTGGAAAAGAGGAGGGGAAAGTATGGGGGGGATGAGGGGAGAGAGAACTGTGGGGAGGATGAGGGGAAGGGGGAATTGGGGTGGATGAGGGGAGTGTGGGGAGGATGGTGGAGTTGGAAATATGGGGAGGGCGAGATCCACTTGCCACTTGCTGTTAGTAGGGACGAGGACGCCTCCAGGGAGGACGGGGCCACTTACTGTTAGTAGGGACGAGGACGCCTCCAGGGAGGACGGGGGCCACTTACTGTTAGTAGGGACGAGGACGCCTCCAGGGAGGACGGGGGCCACTTACTGTTAGTAGGGACGAGGACGCCTCCAGGGAGGACGGGGGCCACTTACTGTTAGCAGGGACGAGGACGCCTCCAGGGAGGACGGGGGCCACTTACTGTTAGTAGGGACGAGGACGCCTCCAGGGAGGACGGGGCCACTTACTGTTAGTAGGGACGAGGACGCCTCCAGGGAGGACGGGGGCCACTTACTGTTAGTAGGGACGAGGACGCCTCCAGGGAGGACGGGGCCACTTACTGTTAGTAGGGACGAGGACGCCTCCAGGGAGGACGGGGCCACTTACTGTTAGTAGGGACGAGGACGCCTCCAGGGAGGACGGGGGCCACTTACTGTTAGTAGGGACGAGGACGCCTCCAGTGAGAACGGAGGCCACTTACTGTTAGTAGGGACGAGGACGCCTCCAGGGAGGACGGGGGCCACTTACTGTTAGCAGGGACGAGGACGCCTCCAGGGAGGACGGGGGCCACTTACTGTTAGTAGGGACGAGGACGCTTCCAGTGAGAACGGAGGCCACTTACTGTTAGTAGGGACGAGGACGCCTCCAGGGAGGATGGGGGCCACTTACTGTTAGCAGGGACGAGGACGCCTCCAGGGAGGACGGGGGCCACTTACTGTTAGTAGGGACGAGGACGCTTCCAGTGAGAACGGAGGCCACTTACTGTTAGTAGGGACGAGGACGCCTCCAGGGAGGACGGGGGCCACTTACTGTTAGTAGGGACGAGGACGCCTCCAGGGAGGACGGGGGCCACTTACTGTTAGCAGGGACGAGGACGCCTCCAGGGAGGACGGGGGCCACTTACTGTTAGTAGGGACGAGGACGCTTCCAGTGAGAACGGAGGCCACTTACTGTTAGTAGGGACGAGGACGCCTCCAGGGAGGACGGGGGCCACTTACTGTTAGCAGGGACGAGGACGCCTCCAGGGAGGACGGGGGCACTTACTGTTAGTAGGGACGAGGACGCCTCCAGGGAGGACGGGGGCCACTTACTGTTGGTAGGGACGAGGACGCCTCCAGGGAGGACGGGGGCCACCTGCCAGGTCGTCACCACCTCGTGCTGGACGTACACGATGGTGGAGTTCGTCACGGGACCTGTGTATATATTGTGCTTGTTCTGGGCAGCCACAGTCACAATATACATGCCGTCAACGCTCACCATGATTGGGTACGTCAACTCGTAGAGCACTGTTCCTAGTGGGTAGTCTCCTGTAATGCAGAATGATGGTTGTTAGTTGATAGTTTCCTGTAATGCAAAATGGGTACAGACACTACAGTTCACCCAGTGAGCCAACTCCACGCTGACTTTGTCTCCAGTAGCACAGAGCATCACCTTCACTCACCAGACCACTCCACAAGTGATCATTTGAATTTCATCATGGAATTCCAATTGAATTATAATCGATCCAGCAATGCTGCTCAGTGTAGGAAAAGACCATCGATACTGGATACAAGTTCTGAAAGTGACGGCGAGTGGCATCACGTGAATAAGGCTAACAGGACAAGCCACTCCATGACGACCCATCGCCCATTAATCTCTCCAGCTTCTCCAGCTCTCCCAGCGCCTCAGACTAGATCTACGCTTCCAATCTTCAAAGTGCAGCACACCGAAGGTAAGTCTTCCTACGCTACTGTAGTGGACCTGGAAAAAGAGTACCCCCAGCTCCAGGTCAGAGCAAACCTAATCTCAGAGGAGAATACATTCTGAGGCCTAAAGACGAGTCGGCCGCTACGATTCTAAAAAATTACGCAAAATGTGAGGAACTGAAACCAGAGGATAAAATAAGTAAAATCATTGTCCTCCACTATCCCTTGCATATGGCCCTTGGCCATCTCGAAAAGCTGAACTATGTGGTGTCAGCAGAGAGATGCCAAGTACGAACCACAAAACAGGAAACTCGACAAGTCCTTCTCACAGTAAGAGGACGGATCCCGGAGAAACTTGACCTTGGAATCTGGGGCGTGTTCCAACACAGGCCTTACACCCCAGAACCCCTAAGATGCTTCAGATGTCAGAGATTTGGGCATCACAAAGATGGCTGCCAACGCCCAGTGAGGTGCGGAGTCTGCAGCCAGCCCCATGACACAAAAACATGTATTGATAAACTCAAGGCAAACCACCCTGTTCAGGCAAAATGCCCAAATTGTTCCAAGGCACATCATGCCTGGAACTTGAAATGCCCTGAAAGGCTCAAAAGGCTTCAAACGAACCCCACCACTCCTACAGCGGAGCCGAAACCCCCACCAAAACGAATACCAGCTCCCATGCCCACTAAAACCGCGTGGGGTCTACCCACTCAGGAAGAGGGGGCACACGGCCCTTCACCATCGGCCATGGTGAAGGGTGAGAAGTCCTCTGTACAGGACAAAAAGAAAGATGGAGGACACAAGAATCATGTTCAAAGCAGTCGGCCTCCCATTTCATCCAGCAAGCACACTGGGGCCAATAGGAGTAGCAATTCCAGTGTCAAAGTTACCACCGAGAAGGGTCTAAAAGCTACTAGGCCCCAAACCTGCACAGCATTAAATGGTGCTCCCACTGAACTGGACGCTCTCTGGCCAATGCTCAAAACTTTGGTCACTGAGTTGATCGAAAGTCTGCTGTCATCACATGGAATCAAGCAAACCACAGAGACTCGGAAGACAATTGAGCACAAGCTCAAGAAATTCGAAGATGTAATATCCACACCGTCAAGACAGCAGGGCAGGAGACACCCCCATAAAAAACAGATAGAGTCCAGCTCGTCGGAAAGCGACATTGATGAGTCAATTTCAGGTCCACTAAGAACCTATACACCAATTGCAACTTCCATGGCGTGTTCATCAGACTCCATGGATACCACGGAATTATCAGCAAATTCCAAGAACCTAGAGGTCTAAAGATCCTGCAATGGAATGCGCAAGGACTGCGCACTAAATTGCAACACTTGCAATGCATAGCAGCAACCAAGGGCATAGACATCCTGATACTACAGGAGAGCTTGCTTCGAGCCGGATTAGAACCTAAAATCTCAGGCTATCGAGGCTTCTTCCTTCCATGGATCAATGGGCAATCCAGGGGATGTGCAATCTATGTAAAATGTGACCTGATCTCCAAGTCCATAACCAGCCCACCCAATTGTGGAGCAGGGACAGAGGTAATGGGAGTTACCATTGAGCTAAGACACGACAAACTTGAAGTGTTCAATGTGTACAGGTCTCCACATGCCGAAATGGATCTCTCTGTGTTATTTGGACACGCGACAACAACAAACACAATCATTTGTGGAGATTTTAATGCCCATCATCGATTGGCACTGGGCTCGAACAGAACAAATGAAGCCGGCATTCACATTACACATCTACTGGACCAGCTTCCAGAAATACAAATCCTAAACAAGAATGAACCTACCCACATCCAAGGAGGCAGATTAGACCTAACCTTCGTTTCAGCCTCCCTAAGAGATGCAGCAACATGGTCAGTTGAGCCCACACTCACAAGCGACCACTATGGGGTCCAAATTGATCTTCAGTTAGACCTACCCACCCCACCTCCGCCTCCATCTGAAGCCTGGAACTTTGCTTTAGCAAACTGGGACCGATTTCAAAACCTCATTTCAGAGTGGCAAAGAAACTATGATCTTCCCGAAGACATTAATCAGGCAGAACAAGAATTTGTCAAAGCGATTCAAAGTGCAGCCAACCACTCAATCCCACTGAAAAAACAGTCCACCGGACACCATAAAGATCATTGGTACTATTGCGAACGTGTCAAAGAACTCAACCATAGACTCAACAGAACAAGAAAGCTATACAAAAAGCAGCCAAGTGACCGCAACAGGATCTTACTTTGTGAGGTCAAGGAACATGTACATCGAGAGACCAGACAAATAAAAGAACAAAAGTGGCTGGAATGGTGTTCACACCTGAATGAACACACCTCTCTCGGAGAGATGTGGCAGCAAATTCACCGAGCCAAAGGGAATAAAACACCTAAAGCTCCACACCCCAAGGATCCTCAACAGGAAGCCGAAGTACTGGCAACCAGGTTTGCAGAGAGAGCAGCCAGCAATCAACTTCCACCAGATGTATTAGCAGTACAGACCGGACTAGAGGAAGAAAGGTGGCACAGAATCCTTACAGCATGTGAAGAAGTCTCTGACACTAATGCCCCCTTCACACTGGATGAGCTCAATCGGGCTAAGAAAAACTCCAAGGATACATCCCCTGGAGCCGACAAAATAACCTATAAAATGATTAGAAACCTCGGCCCAGAGGGAGACGCTGCATACCTAAGGTTAATTAATTTAGCCTGGACTTCTCAAACTAGACCTTCTGCTTGGAATAGAGCAGACATAGTGCCGATCCCAAAACCCAAAGATCCAGCTAATCCCAGGCCCATCTCTCTCCAAAGCTGTGCAGCCAAGACGGCTGACAGAATGGCACTCAACAGACTGGAGTGGAAAATGCCTAAACTGCACCATGATATGTATGCCTATAGAAGAGGGGTTGGCACAGTGGAATGTATTACAACTCTGTTAGCCCACTTGAATGACAGACCAGGAATGCTGATATTCCTGGACCTCGAAAAAGCCTTTGAACTGGCTAGCGCCCCAGCTATTCTCTGCTGCCTCATTGACAAAGAGGTCAGAGGCAACCTGCTCTCCTGGACCAAAAACTGTCTCATAAACAGAGAAGCAAGAGTAAAACTTCATGGCACAGTCTCTGAGTACAAAAGACATGAAAATGGTACACCGCAAGGAGGTATTCTCAGCCCTCTTCTCTTCAACTGTTTAATGGAAAGAATAATGAGGTTGAAACTTCCACATCACTGCAGGCTGCTAAACTACGCGGACGACTTTGTCATCATCATAAAAGGAAGGGATGCGGCGCGCCTTGCACCCAAATGCTTAGACTGCATCAGTAAAGAGGCAAAACAGATTGGGATCAAACTCAACCCCTCAAAGTCAAAGGCCATGCCCATAAAAATAGCGAAGCCCAACATCCAACTCACAGTACAGGGTCAACCAATTGAATGGGTCGACACCTATCAGTATCTAGGAATCATCCTGGACACACACATGAATTTTAATGCTGAGGTCACTTACTTGAGAGAGCGAACTGCGGCCCAGACGGCAATTCTCAGGTCGCTAACCTCCCTTTCTGGAGGAGCCAATCTGCAAGTCCTTCGCACATACTATGTACAGGCAGTCAGATCAGTGATCGATTATGCCGCACCTGCACTCACAAATCTATCACACCAACAGTGGAAAAAGCTTGAAGTTGCCCAAAACAATGCTATGAGAGCGGCACTGGGAGCCCCCATGTGGACCAGGCTTGAAACTCTTAGACTGGAGACGGGTTTGCCCTCTCTACAAGAAAGAATATCACAAAGGACAGCTACAATTGTCAGTAAGATAATTATTTCTTCTGATCCAATCCCAGTACGGCAGGCCTTGGTGGTTGGACTAGGCCAAAACAATGGAAACTCTTGGGCTGCAAGAGCAGGTAAAGTCCTAAACAGACTACATTTAAAAAACATGATTCTTGATAGAGAGGGTGATCATCCACACCCAAATTACACTCCTTCCGCGCCGTGGGAAGAGCCTACTTTCAAAATAGTAATAGAAAGTCTCCCAATGAAAAAGGCTGCCTATGATCCGACAATCCTAAGGCGCATAATAGAAGAGCAAATGTATAGCATAGCAGTAGCAGGAGCCACCCACATCTTCACAGACGGATCGGTGGACACAGAATATGAGAGTGCTGGCGCTGCTCTTTGCACGGCCAGCGTACAGGCATATTGGAGACTGGGAGGACTAGTATCATCAACCCAAACTGAGCTGTTTGCCATACAACAGGCATTCGCATATGTGATTGCACAAAACACTCAAAATGCAATCATACACACAGACTCAAAAGCTGCACTTCAAATACTAGGACAAAAACAGTGGAAAGATAATGTGGAAATAATTACCACCATTTTGTATCTTGGAGCAGTCGCTAAAGGCAAAGGACTCAACATAACTTTAAACTGGATCCCATCCCATATTGGAATCCCATTAAATGAAAAAGCTGATGAAATTGCTAAATTGGCAACTCGTCATCCAGTGATACATAAAACAATTCAACCCAGCCTAGAGAACATAAAAAACATCATCACCAAAAAACTCTCACATCTCAACAAAGCCTACCTGCACCAGAGAATAGCTGAAGGTTCGCCATCTGCAACATGGTATCTTCAGGCAACCAAATTAGAAAGGTTAAATATCCCAAAAGGAATCCACAGGGAAATAGCAGTTAGGTTATATAGACTACGTCTAGGTTACAGATGCAACTGGGAGATTGGTGAACCCCGACAGAGAGAGTGCATCTTCTGCCAAACTGTCACAGAAAAGCCATTACTTCACTATCTTCTGGAATGTGAAGCAACCAATGACCTTAGAAGAGCTTTAAGAGTTCCTGAATCATGCAGTGGCCACCCTGAAGCCATCAACACAGCCACTCTCCTGGTCAACAAAGGTGTCCAGCAGCTGGACACCCTCATAAAGACTGTGAAGCAGTATCCTCCCCCGCGATAACAGCTTGATGGTTAAATGCAACCTCAGAATACTGAGAAAAAAAAATTGTACCACTTACGGGCTATTCATGCCCGTGCCACCTCTTGGGTGGCTTAATCTTCATCAATCAATCAATCGAGAAAAGGATTAGAATGCACTTACCCCCATTCCAGAAAATGTCTGAATGTACTTAGCAATGGGAAATGACCTTTTGGATCAATATGCAGGTATTTCCATCCTGACATGGGAAAAACCTCACTCGAGGAAAGTTAATGTTATGATCTCAGCTGGCCACTTTCCCGTGAAAGTGCGGAACGCTACACAAAAAGTGGCAAATATGAAAACGGTTTTAGAGGAAAGTAAAATGAACAAATCCGCAAGGACTGTGGCGAGGATTCGAACCTACGTCCTAGAGCATCCCAGTGTGAGGAAAATCAAATAATTTTTAAGACCCAGAACAAAGAAGTTTAAAAAGATGGAACAGTAGGAATGTATGTTACTGGAACTGGCTGAAAAAGCCATTTGCATACCAGAATCACAGATACAACTGCACTTCGTAACAGAGCTACAATTGCAACAGGCAACAGCATTGCAACAACCAATACTGGACAGAACAAATTTGATATGTCAATGCATATTGGATCTGCCAGAAAAATCTCCCAGTCAAATTATTACAGAGTAAGCTCATTCATCTTTGGTAGCATACAAGTATGAAAAAACAAGAGCAAAAAACTAAGTGCTGTTCATAAATGGTTCACTGAGGCAAATGCAGTATTTGGAACTTTCACAGAAACCCATGAAGAATAATTCTTGGACAGTGAGATCTGGATACCAGAATATAATCTATATAGATGTGATAGGGTAAATAGGTCCTATGGAGGAGTAGGTTTGAATATTACAGAGAACCTTGTATGGCCGGAGCTCCTTTACTCTACAAATGAGGTGGTGGAGGAACTGAGGGTAAAAATAGGGGAAATAAACTTAGTAATTTTTCTAATATATGGTCGAGGAATTCACAGAACAAATAAATAAAATAGAGAATAGCTTCTTGAGTCTGCCAAACCCAATACCAAGGTGACTTCAACCTGCTCCAGTCTAATGGAGATTAGTAAACAATAATATAATATAATAAAATGTACTTGGCAATAACCAACCACAGGTCAAAGAACTTTTTTAATTATCTAAACAAAATTTCGCTCAACCAGCAGATAACAGAGCCAACTAGGACCGAAAATATTCTAAATCTTATCTTCACAAACAATGAAGACAATCAGGGACATTATGATCTCAGATACTTAGTGCACAAGCTCATCGAAGTGCAAACTAACATCAATACTCATAATAGGTCCAAATAAATTATCAAATGAGAGGAGTCATTCAATAAATTTAATGCTAATAATAAAAAAAATTATATATCTTAATAAAAATTAATTAATAATAATATAAAAGGATTGAGTGGGAAAAAATTAACATGTACTTTCAAACATTCATTGGGAACTGTTTTAAGTAATAAAAATTCCATGCAACAACACAACTGACTACTGAAGCATATAAAGTCTGTCTGATACAAGTTCCTTTGCAGAAAGCCAGAAAGAGAACCAGCATAGAGAGAGCGAATGCAGACCTCACTACAGAAGAACGAAAAAATAACAAATGCTTAACTTAACAAATGAGGTGGTGGACTATCTTTCTTTAACACGACTATCTTTAGAAAGAAAGAATAATTTAAACAGGGAGATTGAAGAAAAAGAACAGACGGAAGCAATCATATCAGATTGCAGAAATGCAATTAATAAGAAAGCCATACAAGTATAAAGAAAAACCCATAATATTTCTACAATATATGTGAAATTGAAATAAAAAATCTCTGTCAGTAATGAATCTATACTTACAAGTGAAGGTTTATACATAGGATGAAAAAGAAGTTATGAAATTCTTAAAAAGCCGTATGGGGACATGTTTAGTTCCCAAATAAACAGAATGAAAGTGGAAGATCCAGACAGCTTCCCGACACCCAAAAATATTCCTGATATCAACATGAACTTTCCAGATATTGAAATAAATTGATATATGACCATGCACTCAGTCCCAGGTCCATATTCATGGAATTCGATATTTATGAAGAAATGAGTGCAACGTACCAGTAGCACAGACACTCAGTATATTGTGGAGAAAGAGCTTTCACACAGGAGAGATATCAGATTTTCTTAAATCAGCAGACATAGCCCGTCTACTCAAGGGAAGGAGCAAAGCATTGGCTAAGAAATACAGTCCAGTCGCACTAACGTCCCACATGATAAAAGGTTTTGAGAGAGTGATCAGGAGTCAGGTCTTCAGTTTCATGGAGACCAATAACTTTCACAACCCATGTCAACATGGATTTAGAGCAGGAAGTTCAGATACTTGATAATCGCAGATACTTGACCACTACGACAAAGTCACTGAGGCATTAAAAGAAATACGGAATGCAGATGTGGTATACACTGCCTTTGCAAATGCATTTGATAAGTGTGACCGTGGGCTGAAAGCACTTGATACTTACAGATACTTGACTACTACGATTAAGTCACTGAGGCATTAAAAGAAATACGGAATGCAGATGTGGTATACACTGCTTTTGCAAATGCATTTGATAAATGTGACCGTGGACTGAAAGCACACGGTAGTGAGCATGGAAACCGGGAGAAAGCATGGGGTAGTAAGGTGAAACCGGTAGAAATATTCAATTTTCTATAAACCGAATGCGAAGAGTAACAGTCAACCAAATAAAATCGAATCCAAGCGCAGTTAAAAGCTGTGAACCTCAGGGTTCAATCCTTGATCACTGCTTTTCCTTATCCTCATATCAGATATAGACAAAAATACACAGCTTCGGATCATCTTTTACAATTGACATAAAAATCAGCATGAACATTACTATTGTAGAAAACATTGAAAACTACAAACATATGATAATAAAGTTTAAATAACATGATGTTTAACAGTGATAAACTCCAGGTACTTACGGATCGAAAAATGAGGACCTTAAACAAAATACGGGATACAACCCGCAACGAAATCCGTTCATAAAAGGAAACCGGTATGTTAAGGATTTGGGAATAATGTCCGACGACAACGTTTAGGGAGCATAACCAAGCAACTATTGCGTCGTTACTACGGGCTCACCATAGCCCGTGCTACTTGGGACTTGTTCCAAGTAGCGAATCTTAAACAACAACATATTGCGTCAGCTAGAAAAATGATAGGATGGATTACGAGAATCTTCAAATCCAGGGATCCCATCACAATGGTTGTACTATTGAAATCACTTGTGCTGACCCGTCTTGAGTGCTGCTCGGTACTCACTTCCCCCTTCAGAGCGGGAGATATTGCTGAGACAGAACACATACAGCCCACAGAGACACAATAAAACACCTAAATTGTTGGGATCGTCTCAAAGTTCTCAAAATGTAGTCTATAAAGGAGACAAGAGAGGCATCAAATATATTCATGGAAGGTGGTGGAGGGCAAGGTCCCAAATTTGCACAATAAAATAACAGCAAACTGGAGAGAACGATATGGAAGGAAATGCAGAATAGTGCCTGTGAAGAGCAGGGGTGCCTTAGGCACAATCAGAGAACACTGTATAAACATCATAGGTCCGCGGTTGTTCAACATCCTCAGAGCTAGAATAAGAAATATTGCCGGAACAAAAGTGGAAGACTTCAAGAAAACGCTGGAAAATTTTCTAGAAGAAGTGCCGGACCAACTGGGCTGTGCTAGGTATGTGGGCCTACGGGCCGCTCCAAGTAACAGCCTGGTGAACCAAACTCTCACAAGACAAGCCTGGCCCCAGGCCGGGTTTGGGGAGTAGAAGAACTCCCAGAACCTCATCCAGGTACTATCCAGGTAATAGAGAATGACAATTTCTAGTCTCCTGGTACTAAAGAACCAAGTCAGATACCTAGCTGTTAAATAACATATAAAACAAATGATTTAGAAAGTTAATAAAATCTAAATAAAAAACTGTAAATCGCCAATAAATAAACCTTAAGTCTGTCTCATGTTCTTATAAACACTAATACGTCTGGATATAACAGGAACGAACAATCAAGAGAATTAATGGGTGCAAGATTAAAGATGAATCACACTCACCTGTATCATTGAATGTGTAATTAAGTCCAAGAGACGGGAGGAAGGAGAAGGTGAAGCTCACGGGCCCCGCCACGCTGAACACAGCTGTGTAGTTAGCGTCTGTGAGGGACCTGGGGGGCAGGTACACAGGTAGGTCACATCACTGTTACAAGGGTATATAAGGCTTACACACCTGTCATATTGAAGACACTTGTATGTTTAGACACCTGTTATATTAAAGGCACGTGTCTAAACCCCTTTAGTGAGGAAATCATGAGGTAGTGAGGTGATCATGGGGGTAGTGAGGTAATCATGTGGAAGTGAGGTAATCATAAGGGTAGTGACGTAATCATGGGGTAGTAAGGTAATCAGGGGGTAGTAACGTATTCATGGGGTAGTAAGGTAATCATGGGGTAATGAAGTGATCATGGCGTAATCATGTGGTAGGTTGGTGATCAATGGGAGATTTATTAATGGGGGTAAGGAGATAATTATCGGGTCAAAAGGAAATCTTGAGATATGAAGTTATCATGGGGTAGTGAGGCAATCATGGGGTAGTGAGGTAATCATGGGGTAGTGAGGCAATCATGGGGTAGTGAGGTAATCATGGGATAGTGAGGTAATCATGGGGTAGTGAGGTAATCATGGGGTAGTGAGGTAATCATGGGGTAGTGAGGCAATCATGGGGTAGTGAGGTAATCATGGGGTAGTGAGGTAATCATGGGGTAGTGAGGTAATCATGGGGTAGTGAGGCAATCATGGGGTAGTGAGGTAATCATGGGGTAGTGAGGTAATCATGGGGTAGTGAAGTAGTCATGGGACAGTGAGGTAATCATGGGGTAGTGAGGTAATCATGGGGTAGTGAGGTAATCATGGGGTAGTGATGTAATCATGGGGGTAGTAAGGTAATCATGGGGTAGTGAGGTAATCATTGGGTAGTTAGGTAATCATGGGGTAGTAAGGTAATCATACTGTAGTGAGGTAATGATGGGGTAGTGAGCCAATCATGGGGTAGTGAGGTAATCATGGGGTAGTGAGGTAATCATGGGGTAGTAAGGTAATCATGTGGTAGTGAGGTAATCATGGGGTAGTGAGATAATCATGTGGTAGTGAGGTAATCATGGGGTAGTGAGGTAATCATGGGGTAGTGAGGTAATCATGGGGTAGTGAGGTAATCATGGGGTAGTGAGGTAATCATGTGGTAGTGAGGTAATCATGGGGTAGTGAGGTAATCATGGGGTAGTGAAGTAATCATGTGGTAGTGAGGTAATCATGGGGTAGTGAGGTAATCATGGGGTAGTAAGGTAATCATGTGGTAGTGAGGTAATCATGGGGTAGTGAGGTAATCATGTGGTAGTGAGGTAATCATGGGGTAGTGAGGTAATCATTGGGTAGTGAGGTAATCATGGGGTTGTGAGGTATTCATGGGGTAGTGAGGTAATCATGAGGTAGTGAGGTAATCATGGGGTAGTGAGGTAATCATGGGGTAGTGAGGTAATCATGGGGTAGTGAGGTAATCATGGGGTAGTGAGGTAATCATGGGGTAGTGAGGTAATCATGGGGTAGTGAGGTATTCATGGGGTAGTGAAGTAATCATGGGGTAGTGAGCTAATCATGGGGTAGTGAGCCAATCATGGGGTAAAGTGGTAATCATGAAGTTGGATGTAATCATGGGGTAGTGAGCCAATCATGGGGTAGTGAGGTAATCATGGGGTAGTGAGTTAATCATGGGGTAGTGAGGTAATCATGGGGTAGTGAGGTAATCATGGGGTAGTGAGGTAATCATGGGGTAGTGAGGTAATCATGGGGTAGTGAGGTAATCATGGCGTAGTGAGGTATTCATGGGGTAGTGAGGTAATCATGGGGTAGTGAGGTAATCATGGGGTAGTGAGGTATTGGGGTAGTGAGGTAATCATGGGGTAGTGAGGTAATCATGGGGTAGTGAGGTAATCATGGGGTAGTGAGGTAATCATGGGGTAGTGAGGTAATCATGGGGTAGTGAGCCAATCATGGGGTAAAGTGGTAATCATGAAGTTGGATGTAATCATGGGGTAGTGAGGTAATCATGGGGTAGTGAGGTAATCATGGGGTAGTGAGGTAATCATGGGCTAGTGAGGTAATCATGGGGTAGTGAGGAAATCATGGGGTAGTGAGCCAATCATGGGGTAGTGAGGTAATCATGGGGTAGTGAGGTAATCATGGGGTAGTGAGGTAATCATGGGGTAGTGAGGTAATCATGGGGTAGTGAGGTAATCATCGGGCAGGGAGGCACTCATGGGGTAGGGAGGCACTCATGGGGTAGGAAGGCACTCGTGGGGTAGGGAGGCACTCATGGGGTAGGGAGGCACTCATGGGGTAGGGAGGCACTCATGGGGCAGGGAGGCACTTATGGGGTATGGAGGCACTCATGGGGTAGGGAGGCACTCATGGGGTAGGGAGGCACTCATGGGGTAGGGAGGCACTCATGGGGTAGGGAGGCACTCATGGGGCAGGGAGGCACTCATCGGGCAGGGAGGCACTCATGGGGTAGGAAGGCACTCGTGGGGTAGGGAGGCACTCATGGGGTAGGGAGGCACTCATGGGGTAGGGAGGCACTCATGGGGCAGGGAGGCACTCATGGGGTATGGAGGCACTCATGGGGTAGGGAGGCACTCATGGGGTAGGGAGGCACTCATGGGGTAGGGAGGCACTCAAGGGGTAGGGAGGCACTCATGGGGTAGGGAGGCACTCAAGGGGTAGGGAGGCACTCATGGGGTAGGGAGGCACTCATGGGGTAGGGAGGCACTCATGGGGTGGGGTGGCACTCATGGGGTAGGAAGGCACTCATGGGGTAGGGCGGCACTCATGGGGTAGGGAGGCATTCATGGGGTAGGGAGGCACTCATGGGGTAGGGCGGCACTCATGGGGTAGGGAGGCACTCATGGGGTAGGGAGACACTCATGGGGTAGGGAGGCACTCATGGGGTGGGGTGGCACTCATGGGGTAGGAAGGCACTCATTGGGTAGGGCGGCACTCATGGGGTAGGGAGGCACTCATGGGGTAGGGAGGCACTCATGGGGTAGTGCGGCACTCATGGGGTAGGGAGGCACTCATGGGGTAGGGAGGCACTCATGGGGTAGGGAGGCACTCATGGGGTAGGGCGGCACTCATGGGGTAGGGAGGCACTCATGGGGTAGGGAGGCACTCATGGGGTAGGGAGGCACTCATGGGGTAGGGAGGCACTCATGGGGGGTAGCGAGGCATTCATGGGGGGTAGAGAGGCACGCAAGCACTTTTTCACCCTGCTATACTAACCATACACCCTCTACTATTACCAATAAATAAGGTAAACTGGAACATTATCTAAGTGCAGACACAAATCAAGGAAAATTTGAAGAGAGAATTAGCTGCTCGAAAAAAGTTGTTAAACACACTGGACATAATCTTACCGAGGCCAATATACGGGGCATACGTGCTCAACCACCGTGCAAGACAAACACGTAACACTTAGTGAACCAGCCACAGGCTTAGCGCCCGCTCAGAAACATCCCTGATGAGAGGTGGGGGGGAGGTGACGTCCCAGTTATGACACCTGTGGAGCTCACTCTCACTTCCCCCTATAGGAAAAGCAACACAATCTTCACACTTGAGGGAACTCCTATTCTCCTGCTTGGAAGCATTATGTACTGCAAATACATGTGAATGTTTTTTTGCACGTTTCGAAAGCAGCCATGGTTGTAGGCCCGCTCTCTTCATAATGTACACAGCCATGGTTGTAGGCCCGCTCTCTTCATAATGTACACAGCCATGGTTGTAGGCCCGCTCTCTTCATAATGTACACAGCCATGGTTGTAGGCCCGCTCTCTTCATAAAGTACACAGCCATGGTTGTAGGCCCGCTCTCTTCATAAAGTACACAGCCATGGTTGTAGGCCCGCTCTCTTCATAAAGTACACAGCCATGGTTGTAGGCCCGCTCTCTTCATAAAGTACACAGCCATGGTTGTAGGTCCGCTCTCTTCATACAGCACACAGCCATGGTTGTAGGCCCGCTCTCTTCATAAAGTACACAGCCATGGTTGTAGACCCGCTCTCTTCATACAGCACACAGCCATGGTTGTAGACCCGCTCTCTTCATACAGCACACAGCCATGGTTGTAGACCCGCTCTCTTCATACAGCACACAGCCATGGTTGTAGACCCGCTCTCTTCATACAGCACACAGCCATGGTTGTAGACCCGCTCTCTTCATACAGCACACAGCCATGGTTGTAGACCCGCTCTCTTCATACAGCACACAGCCATGGTTGTAGACCCGCTCTCTTCATACAGCACACAGCCATGGTTGTAGACCCGCTCTCTTCATAAAGCACACAGCCATGGTTGTAGACCCGCTCTCTTCATACAGCACACAGCCATGGTTGTAGACCCGCTCTCTTCATAAAGCACACAGCCATGGTTGTAGACCCGCTCTCTTCATAAAGCACACAGCCATGGTTGTAGACCCGCTCTCTTCATAAAACACTCACCTAATATTCTTTGCACTGGAAAATACTGACACTGTAAGACTTGTAATTTTTGATACATAAAATGCCCCCTTGCCCCGGGCCCCCATACTCTATGTGCACTCATCCCCAGTGTAACAAACTAGGCTGTTGTAAGAATTATCCAGAGTGGTTTATCGACAAAAGAGAATGGGAAGCTGAGCCGCATGGTGACCTGACCCCCAGGGGAATTCGCGGTGGAAATAACCGACCCTTTGTTCATAGCTGCGTATAATGAATCATCCTATAGTATTCAGTAATTTAGAGAAATTAGCCTTTATTCATTTTGCATTAAAATTGTATTGTATAATAGTACTGGATACAATATCAAGAGTATTCTAATTATTGAGTTTAAGTCACCATCAGTGACGTCACGAATCAGATCTAACTTTTAAGGCGGAGTGACCGGCGGTCATAGGTCATCAGGGGTTGACAGGTCTACTATTTCTCAAAGTTTTAATAACCATTTTTGTGATCGGGAACAGCTCTGCCGTTAGATGTTTGTAATTTAATTCAGTAAAATAATTCAACCAGTCTGGATCAATTAAGTACAACAGAGGTTAATTGTTATAACTTAAACCTTGCTAGTAACTGGGTAGGACTTTGACTA